CTGAGGGATTACACAGATATAAAGTGAGATGGTTAAATGAAAGAAAGTACGACAATTTAATGTTAAAAATGACATTATATTGTAAAAAATAGAGTGTCTTTTATTATCCCCGTGGTATCGGAATCTGTATTAAGTATGAAGTCTATTCCTTAGTATCAAAATTGAGCTTGAAGTTTTAGTATCATGACAACACTACTATTGTATAGACAAGCAGATTTTGGACTCTCAACTAGAAAAAAGTAATGCAGTGTACTTTTAAGTTCTCATATTGTTTTTCCAAAGTGATAAATCTTTCACTTTAGAGGTCGTATATTGCACAAAATGGGCTCTTGTGAGTTAAAACATACCTGGAGTTGTGTTTTGTTTCTTTCACACATTTTAATTAATCCTTTATTATTAGTGTGTCTACATCTCCAAAGCTCAAAATGCTCTGTTCCACCTTGTGATGTTATGTAGTGGTAGTTTTCAAGTTAACAGCTTTTTTTTTTTTTTTTAAGTTTAGTTCAGTAGAGATTGGCAATTATTATTCAAATTGATTCTAGTAAAGGTGTATGGAGTTTTAAAACACTTCCTGTATTATCGCATCACAAAGTGTTTTCTATTTGAGAAAAGAACTCAGGATTTGTGTTAAACATGCATGAATGAAACAAAACACAACTCCGGGTATGTTTGAGATGAGGAAACCACATTAAAACATAGATTAGAAAATTGCATAATATGGGCCCTTTAATGACTAAATATTTTCCTTGCTCTCACACCTGCACACCACACATTTCCTTTGTCTGCTCATGCATTCATCGCCGTAGGAAACCATCAGCCTTGTCCATGAAGCTCAATCAAGGTCAAAACATCATTGTAAACTTGACTTCTTTTTGTGCATCCTCTCAACCCCTGGGACAGATTGGCTAATACATTATCTTTCCTTTTTTCCAGAGACCCTTGAGCTCACAATAGATGCTGTGCCTCTTTTCACTCATGGTCGGCTCAAAGGGCAAAACTGACTGGCTGCGTGCTGACATTTCAAGTTTAAATTCAACATCTTGCAGTGTTGAGTGTTTTGTTCCTGTTGTTATTTTTATTTTGTTCAGAAAATTGTTGTGTTTACAGTTTTTCTTTCGAGTTTGACCTGTGTACTGTGTTGATAACAGCTATTGTAATGTGTGTAAACGTGTACTTGCTATAGGTCTAAAAGAATGTGATTGTAAAAAGACACATTAAAAATCATAGGACTGAGTACAGCACAAGTCCCAGTTGTGCCTGTTTTGATTGGTCAGAGCTCAGACGCAGGTTGCACTTTAAAACAAAAAGTTTCAATTCAAGTTTTGAATTTTTGAATTAATCCTGTGATGTCTGATCTAAAAGAGCATTTTTATGCTGTTGTTGTTTATGAGTTTTAGGCCTGTTTGAGTCCAAATAGGTAGTAGGTTTTAATGGTTAGGTCCTACTCTAGTCCAGGTTTAAATGGTAAACAGTCACTTTCATATAGCACTTTTCTAAAGCACTCAAAAAAACTTTACATCAAGGAATCACTCACCCATTCACACATATTGATACACCAGTGTATGCAAACATGTCGGTTAAGTGTCTTTCCCAATGACACAAGAAAAGTATTCATCTGTAGGAACTGGAATCACACTTTCATCCAGTGGGTCAGGTGTCTAGAGCAGGATTCAAACCACCAACCTTCAGAGGACGAGCATTGTGTGGATTTAGTTCTCAATTTTTCTGTGGTGCATGTGCCAATGCACCAGCATTTTTCATGCTTACTTTATACTTTGTACTTAAGTACAAATTTGGCACCAGTCCCACCAACTTCAAAGACTGCTCCGGTTCCAGAGTAAATTTTCCATTCATTTTTCAAAACAGACTTTTCCAAAAATTCAAATATTAATCAAAGACATTGAGGAAGCTAACCAGCTTTGAGCTAACTAATACCCATAATGTGATTGTTTTAAGTATAAAAAGAACATTTAAAATGAAAATGTTTTAATAATACCTTAGCAATTTATAAAGTTTCAGAAAGAGAAATTACATACAATTATAGGTCATTAGTTCCTACATAGCTGATTAGCCCTAAGCAAGATTTCAAATTTTTAATATTAATTATTTTTAGAAAGTCTATGCAGAAAATTAATGAGAAATTTATTAGGAGTGGGCGGTCAATGTGGAAAAAGTGAAATTTAGCTAAATTAAAATGACTTAAATTAAGAAAATATTATCTTGATTTGAGTAATTTTCACTTCACATGTAATAATATTCTACAAATGGAACAAGCCTTTTGTACTTAAAACAGAAAATCACATCTTGTTACACTCATTCCATTGACAGATCATTTTACTTGTTAAGTTGAATCTACTCAAATCTAGTAAAATGTTTTTAATTTAAGGTATCTGAATTTACCTAGATATAACTTTATTAATTCACTGTTGAGCTCCATTGATCACATTTTTTATCAATGTACTTTTACTTGCGTACAAATCCCACCAGAGTGTATTTGTAGCAGTAGAGCAGAGCATCTTGTACCAGGATGTCTTGCAGAATCAGGCCAATATCTCCCTAGCTGTGCTCTATGGTGTGTGCATTCCTTAATACAGTGTCACTGCTAAACTACAGCTTCTCCCATTATTAACAGCAGCCTACGGTCAACCACGCAACAGTAATAAAAACCACATAAAGCCCTACATAACTTTGCTAGACAAGCGTAATGAAATCCTGGCCATTATGAACACAGTTATGGTAATAAGTAGCGTCGAGCCTGGTGTTAGGGGTTACAAGGCAGCAGAGGAGAAAATTAAAAAGATGAAGTTGTAGACTGTGATGGCTGTTTTAGAGAGATCTCGTCTAGCTGCAGGCTATAGGGAGCTAAATCTGCTTACTCGTGTTGAGGCGGGTGAAGTTTCAAGGTCAAATGTGCAAGGTCTGTTCTTTTAATTAGGGATTTGTAATAAAGTAGAGTTGTTAAGAGGATTTGGGGAAATTAAGACCTGAAGACAGCATAACAATAATATGAAAGAAGAATTTATGTGTTTTGTTTCACTGAATGTTTTGGGGGATTGTACTTTTAGATGAAATGCGTGATTCAACAAAGCAAATTATCTTAGAGTTTACAAAAATGCACGGCAAGTTGCTAGTTAAAATTACTTTTTTGAGTAGCTTCAACTTGACAAGTAAAATAATATACTAATGGAATAAGTGATTTTCTTAATTCAAGCAACATTAGATTTTGGTTCTTATTTTAAGTGCAAAGAATTGTGTTTTTCTTAGCAAGGTAGAAAGATGTATTTTCATATTTTAAGTACAAAAATTCTTGTTCCTTTGGTAGATTATTTTACTTGTCAAGTAAAATGTACTCAAATCATGATAAAATGTTCTTAATTTATGCAATCTTAACTTGGCTAGATTTTAGTTTTTGCACTGTGGTGTGTCAGTTTTTTCTCAATGAATTGGCATTACACTGGAAATTTAATTTAAACTCCTGCAGAAACACATATTCAATAAAATGATATAAATCTTGTGCTCACTTGTTACCAGAATTATGTCACTGTGCTTTTAATAGACAGCTATCAGTCCAGTCTCCATTCCTTCCACCACATCACGAGGCAGACCAGTTTTTTTCAGTGAAGCATGTGAAATTAAGGAACTAAAACAGTTTAGTACTTCACTCATTGATTCTGCAGAAATCTGCAATGTCAGTCATATTTGTTTTGATACAGGGGATCATACATGTCCCTATTCTACCTGTCAGTCATCCCCATCGGAAAACCAGTTTGAATCCTGCTATAGCAACATGATTAACACTGTCCTTGGGCAAGGCACTTCACCCCACTCGCCCCCAGTGTCTGAGTACACTGGGGTATGGATAAACGAGTGAGTGGTTCCTTGACGCTAAGTGCTTTGAGTGCCTTGAAGGTGGAAAAGCGCAGTACAAATGTGACCATTTATATCTTCACAGTATTGAACAAGTGTGTTTTCTGGATTCCAGACAAGATTAGCCCCTAACAAGCTTTCAAACTATTTAATTACATTTATTTATAATGAATAAGATTAAAATCTGATTGCAGTAACTTCATTTGGCTACAGATTGTAATTTAACTAAGAAAAATTAAAGCACAATTAAAATATTTCTTATTCTGATATGCTAGGGATGTAACGATATCCAACTCTCACGATACAATATCGTCACAGTATGAATGTCACAGTATGAATGTCACGGTATGAATGTCACGGTACGATATTTATTGTGATATCGTTGGAAAACTCACTCATATTGTGGGGAGGCTCACAATATCTAAATCTCTCGGCACAATATTTTGTGGAAGCTAAATAGCTAAAACTGTTAGTGTGCTACTTTTTCCTCTTAAAATGCTTTGACAAAACTTAATCTAAAGAACTAAGACTTAAAAGTGCTTCGAACTGTTATTTCTTCATGTCGTCTACACTGAAATGGAGCAAAGGATCATGGTCTATGTAGTTCCCTCTGTCTTTTTTAGCTGTTGCTGCACCATAACTCTTAATTTAAGCAAAGAGACTTGTAATTCGATATATTGTGATGGTCCACGATATTATTGTGAGAATTTTGACAATACGATATCACCATATTTCGGTTATTGTTACATCCCTGTGATACACTGTACAAATCTATGTCATATTGTGGCTGGATGATTGCAATCTTCTTGGCAAATACCCACACTGTAGATTTCTTTTCTGTTTGTAGCAACAGTAACAATTGATGGTAGTTTTAACACACGTGGAAGCTGGAGTGAACTGTGAGGGTCTTTTGTGCTTACCAGCGGGCCAGCAGTTCACTTTGAGAAAAGGTCAGAGCTGTAGACTGCAGCCTGGAGTCACAGGTTTGTAAACAAACTGCTGTGGACCTAAGATGGCACCGAAATGAGAAGATACATGCCTGTTTTTTACTTTCCTCATGTTGTCAATACTCCCCCTAGTCTTTTGTATCTGTGAAATAAAGCAAAATCAATGACACACGGGAGGACAGCAAATGGTTTTCAAATCCATTTAATAAGTGCAAAAAGTGAATTTAAAAAGTGCAATGCGCTATTAAAACCCAACGCTTCAAACAATACAGCGACGCAGATGTTTCAAAGCAGGTTGTGGCTGGGAAAAAATAAAGGGGGTAGTTTGAGAGGGAACAAAATCAGCTAAACAACCCCAGTCCTATTACATAAATGGCTCATTCATAATCACAGCGGAGCAATTATGTGTGCCGAGAATTGCTAGGAGTCTTTACCTCGTACACTCCGCAAGAAGCTTCACCATTTTCCGAAACCGACGAATAAATGAAAAGAAAATTGCCCCTCCTTTTGTCCATCAATGCGTAACTATGGCAACCCACACCCAAAAGCGGAAAAAAAGGGCCTCTAAAGCAATCATTTGCCCTTCAGCTTTTTTCCTACACCCGAATTGTTACTGATTTCGATTTTGTTCTCTTTCTTTCAGCTCTCTGCATCTCATCCGTCCTTCCCCTCGGAGCAGCAACCATTCATACCGGCCCTATCTCACCTTTTTAAGTACCATTCTAACCCTATCCCTCATTCACAGCCCACCCACTCCATCACGCTCCCATCTCCCTCCATCTTCCTCCATCTTCCTTGTCATCCCCCTCCGAGCGGTCCGCACGCCGTCACACGAGAGGCTGTTTGTCGGTGCAGGTGCTGGGGACGGACTCCAGGCTAGATTTGTAGATGGGCTTCTTCGCAGAGTGGTCATCGCTGAGGAGGAGAAAGAGAAGACAGAAGAGCGTGATTATCTGTATATCGACCTCCCAGTAGGCGCCAGAAAAGGTATAAGTGAAGAAATTATGGACTCCACAAAGAAATGGAACTGCACTTGGCCTTGGATATTAAAAAGGCCATTTTGTTTGAGCTTTTGCTGCACGTTCACAAAAGTCTGGGTCACACACAGGCAGATATAGTAGAGTTTTAAAATACACAGTTTTTCAGCAGGTACAGAGACGCAGCTAATGACTGGAGCCATGTGAGGTTACATTGTGCATTAGAGGACTGTTACGTCCTGCATTAAGGTGTGCTTTTTAAAAGCTGATAATAAATGGCTTACTGTAGACGGTGTGCTCCTAACTAGCTCAAAAAAAGTATTGCCCTATTTCCTCATCACAGTATTTGTTCTTTCATTTTGGGCCACTTGGAGATCTTTTTTATATGAAAAGCTAAATATGTTTCTGTCCATTTTGGGCCATGTTTAGAATGAAAATTAGGTCTGTCACCTGGTTGTCTCCATAGCAAGGGTATAGCTTTTTCAGGAATGTTACATCTTTTGGCATTAAAGGTATAGTATGCAGCTTTTCTGGAGGTGGCACATCTCCTACATAATTTCATGGACATAGTAAATTAAAACCATACTTTGGAACATACCTGATGGAAATAGATAACTTTTATGTCATACTGTGGAATATTATAGCTAAAGGAACAACATTTCCATGGAAACAAGAAAGAAATGGCTTTCCTTCAGGTCACATACGGTCAGGTTTGTGGAGATACAAGCCCACTACCAGTAAAGATGCATGTTTTTATAAGCAATAAACACAAAAGAAATGCTAAATCATGCTTTCATTTTAGTCTATTTTTTGCCAAAAATACAATCTTACATTGAGCAGTTTGTTTCTGTGGAATCAATCTATGGACCATTCCTGGCAAAGCAATGCCATATCCTTGTAGATAAGGAGGTAGCAACCACTCCACCAGTAAAGTTACATAGTGCAATTTTAACCATTCGAATCAACAGTGAGACAGTAGGACTGATATGGCAAAAAGGCAAAATTTTGATGTAAGTCATATTGATCAATCATTGATTTCATTCAATCATTTTCTTATTCAAATCAAATAAATATGTTTTTTGCTTGAACAGTACACTAGGATCATTGTTCAGTTATATTAGTCTCACACAAAAGGACAGAACATTTTGCGCATTTGTAGAAATCTAGTTCCATTCCAGTTCCTCATTAGCAGTCAGTCAGTCAGTCAGAAGCAGTCAGTGGCAATCTGGTTTACATCTTATTGCTCATTTATCATCACATCTCATTAAGGCCCAAGACCCGAGATTTGGGAAAAATATATAATTGTGATTTATCAGACAAGCATTGCGATTATGATTTGGTTTGCATCTTCTGTTTTAATAATAGGATAATACAAAGAAAGTTCACATTTTCATCGAGAAGAATTGACTGAAATATGAACTGACAAACTAATACAAGATTCACATTTCCAGGACACATTTGTACAGATCTAATCGGCAGGGCTAGCAGTTTATATGAACAATAAAACAGAATATTACATTGGTTGTGGAGGAAATTTGGGCACTTCTAAAATTGCAGCCTTTGTTAATAGCCTCCATTCAAATTGCAATTTTGATTTGAGTGTGATTAATTTTGCAGCCATATTCTAACATATAAGTATTGAAAATCAGATAGTAATCGATGCTAAAACTAGTAAAAAAAGAAAGTCATTTGAGGAGGTATAGATACTAAAAAAAGCCACATTCACAGGATAGAAATAAGACTACAGGGTAATATAAAAGAAAATACTATTATTTAATATTGAAAATCATATTGTATTGTCTAAAGAAAGGGTTTTTTTTTTATCATCATTGTGGTATCGCAGTTGGTATTGAGTATCGAGTATTGACATTGAGTTTTAATACTAAGGAATAACTTCAAGTCAAGTATATCTACACACAGCAACTTTTTAGCAAGGCATAAGGAGATCAAAGATAAGGTCAAGTGGGTGAAACCTGTCCCACTTTGAAATTTAAAACACAGTCTATTTGAAATGCACAAAGCCAGACGTGCGCCGCTCAGTATGGCGTGGCGAAAGAGGTTCTAGAGTATGAGCTTGGCATCATAACAAAACCACAGCGAAAACGACGCCAAGGTGTACCCTGGCACACGCACACCCCGATGGCCTCGCTCGGATCGCATGAGACAGGATGAAATATTGCAGCTATAGCCATATTTGTAATAGAAAGTCAAACTGCAGGAGGCGGAATGTGGCTGACTTAGGGAAAATATCAGCGAGAGCGCGTAGACCTCAGCAAAACACCATCAAGACACATAATCCATTTGAACAGGATTTAGGGTGACAGTAAGAAGTACAGAGGGAAGTTATGTGGGGTCATGGCCGGATACATTTCGTTTTTGAGCAAAAATGTTTAAAGGGCCCACATTATGCTATTTTCTGATCTGTGTTATAATGTTGTTTCCTCATCACAAACATACCTGGAGTTGTGCCAATGATGTTCATTTTGTCTTCTTATATACTTTAACTTCTTAGGTTCTTTTTAAAGACAATGCAGTAAAGTGTATTTACCTTGTTGACATGTTTCGGCTGCTGCTGCAAGCCGTCTTCAGAACTGTCACCGGTGTTGGTGGTGACGTGTCGTATATCAGTTGTTGTTACTTCCTGTAGGCGTGGTCAGCCTGATGGACCTGGCAGGTCGCTCAGACTGACCACGCCTCCCCGGCTGGATCAAGGAGGCCATTGCAATCAGGAAATGAGGCACGGACAGCATTAACCGTGATGATGGCGCGTTCCTCCTTTCACACACCTGGGACACCCTCCTCCAGAGAACACCGGGCGACGAGAGGCGTGGTCAGTCTGAGCGACCTGCCAGGTCCATCAGGCTGACCACGCCTACAGGAAGTAACAACAGCTGATATACGACACGTCACCACCAACACCGGTGACAGTTCTGAAGATGGCTTGCAGCTAGCAGCCGAAACATGTCAACAAGATAAATACACTTTACTGCATTGTCTTTAAAAAGAACCTAAGAAGTTATACCTGGAGTTGTGTTTTGCTTCATTCACACATAAAGGTGCACTATGTAACTTTTCTGGTGGAGGTCTGTATCACAGTATGATTTTAAACTCAACTATCTAAGCCACCAGACCAATTCCCTGCAAGTAAAAGCATGTGGTTTGGAGTTTGGACGTTGGAGAATAAATTGGTCTTTTAGTTTTATATAGTACTTATTAAATTGTGCCCTGTTTATGTCCATAAAATCAATCCTTAGAGATATCAAAATTGGTCAATAATAGGAAAAAAAGACTGTAATTTTCATCATACTGCCCAGTCCTAACCTTTCCTAAACAAACACAAATGCTGTGTGTTTTTACTTCAACCAGAAATGTGTTTCAGGTACAACTGACTCATTTTAACTGTATGGTTTTTAGAACAGGAAAGATTGCTTCAAGTTTAAAAAGGCCCAGATGTTTTTTTTTTAGTTTTTTTTTTTTAAGTCAGCAAGGTGCTAAATCTTGCTAAAGATAAATGTGCACTATGTCACTTTTCTGATGGAACCCGTCACCTGCTTGTCTCTGTGGACATTTCCTGAAGTGTTCCACAGTATAGTATTAAACGTATCAATTTGGAGACAAAAAGCTGATACTACCAAACCAAGTTACAGGTCAAATCTGAGAAGAGGAGACCCCACTCATAGACAGAATGCAACTTTTTCAGCAATAAACGCATCTGTAATGGAAATGAATGCTAGATAGATGCATTTAAATCCATACTGTGGAAAAGTTCAGGTAATGACTCGAAATAATGCACCTTTAATGCAACCTAAAATAAAACATTAAAATAAAAAAATTAATAAAAAATATATATATATATCTTACATGGGCCCCTTGCTGGTCTTGACCTTCTTGGCACAGAAGCAGAAGAAGGTTGTCATAGAGATGATGGCCACCAAGCAGGCCAACACGCCCCCTACTGTCAACAAGATGATCTGCGAATCCCCGTCCAGGTACGAGCTCATCTCCTGTCTTTCCCTCTCTTTTTCTGTTGATGGCAGAAGGCAGATTAGTGGTCTGAGAGTGGTGCTTTAGTCTGTAGTAGTAGTAGTAATGGTAAAGTTAGTAGTGGTAGTAGAAGAAAAAGATCTTGAAGGGTTTCAGTTAGGTAAGCACCTCTCTCCTCAAGCATGTCTGGGTGTGAGTGGAAGTGTGTATAGTTGTGTGGCTGCGTGGGTGATGTGTGAGTGTGTGCATGTGTGAGTGAGAGAGTGTGCGCAAGTGTGTCTGTGAATGTGTGTAATGATGTCGGGGTTGTTTTTTATGTTTAAAAACACAATAAAAAGCATGTATATGTGTGTGTGTGTGTGTATATATATATATATATATTTATATATACACAAATGAGTTCCACAGACACAAACAGCAGAAACAGGAACTTATATCTACCTCTTGGCTCCACCTTATAGCTTCTAGTCTTCTCCAGCTTCCACATGTTATACTGTAGCGCTGAAAGACAGAAATGTAGACTTTTAAAACATATTTTGTAGTAGTATGTCAGAGGTAGGGATGCACCAATCCAGCTTTTTCAGCTCCGATACTGATACTTTGATTTTAAATATCTGCCAATAACCGATATCAGCTGATACAGGAGATCCAATTATGTTATGCAACTGTTGTTTAAATAACTACAGAGCTGCTTCATATGAATAAAAGCTCAAACATTATGAGAAATTCTATGACAAAATTAGCCAGTAAATTGTCTTATTACATCCCATTAAAGGCCCAACCAGGTTTACAGTGCGTATGACAGGTTTATAAATTATACTTCTACACCAATCAAGAAGCAATTTGTGAAGAAAAGTTGAAAAATGTGTTGAAAATTACAGGAAGTTTAGTTAGTTCCATAGTTCCAAATTGATGACATCTCACTAGGGAAAAATTCTGTCCAAATGTTTCGTGCAATTGACATGTAAAAAACTTTTTTTTTTCTGATACTTTAAATATTATTAAAAATAAATAAATAAAGGTATTTCTAACATTTTTATTCATCAAATATTAATTACTGTGAGTACATTAGAGGAGTTTTGGCCCAGTGTACTACATAGTTGCTTTTCATCCAGGATGTAAAACAATATCTGTCATAGGAATAGGTAATAAGAAATAAGGGCAAATCATTAAGAAACTGCAAAAAACAATAAATTCTAAATTGCATGCTTCTTCCAAGTGCGCCTTTAAACTTTGACAAACTTTTTTGATCCACAAGGGAAATTACTTGAACACAACAGCTAACACAGGGGTCTCAAACTCAAATTACCTGGGGGCCACATTAGATAAAGTCTGAGTGAGGCTGGACCGCATTGAGTATTCGATAAATCGTAGTTGCACGAAAAAAAAGAGAGAGAAAGAACAACACGCAACACACTTTCTTAATATTTAAATAACAGTTCAGAACATGAAAATGTATTCAGAACATAAGTTTAAACTAATACGTCTACTCTTCTTTTTTTACCTACTCCTTGCTGGTTGAAACCTGGCTACGCTTCATCTTGCACAGAGAGATATTTGGCTTGCAGGAGGAAGCACATGAGATCCTCAAGATAGATTGAAGATGCTCATCAGTGAGCCTTGACCTGTATTTGGTGCTTTCACACCGACAGTATTTGGTGCGCACCAAACGGTCCATTCGAACCAAAAGTGGTTAGTTCGGTTCGTTGGCATTTGTGTGAAAGCGTCAATCGGACTCTGACCTGGACCAAATCAAGCGGACCGAGACCTCAAAAAAAGAGGTCTCGGTTCGCTTGAATCCGCACCAAATTACCAACTTTGGTGCGGTTCCTCTGGTGTGAACGCGAACCCGGGTCCAAACCACAGACAGCAGGTCCAAACGAACTCTTCTAGATGCAACATGGGAGAAACGCGTCTCCTCTCCCTGAAATGACGCGCTGTACAACTCCAGCGCAATAACAGATTGTTGTTCAGACGCAGCCGCGATTCATTTTCAAATTATTTTACCAACAATGGCTAATACTGAGAATGTAACGCACAAAGATCAGAGCAAGTACGTGCAAACGTGTGGTTCCAGAGTGAGTCAAAATTGGGGGTGTGTACTTATGTGCAGAATCTGCACAGAAGTCCCGGTGTTCCCTGTGATCATGTAGGAACCAGCATTTGTTATTTTAGGCTTTAATTAACCATATAATTTTATGGCAATAGGCAATTGCCCATTCAATTGATTCACCTTTAAAAAATGTCCTGCTTTTAGCCTCGTGTGAGAAATACAGTCAGACTAGATCCAAACCAGAGTCCCGAACCAGCAGGAGCAGCTCCGGTTCTGTCCAGGCTCAGATGTGGAGCGGGGAGTGAAAAGCGCTTTCCCCGGGAAGAACCAAATGCGCGGAGGACGGACACCAACTAAACTGGATTCACGCTTCTGTCCGGATGCTGCACCACCTCGGAACCAGCCACGGTTCTTGAGCGCGGAGGACCGGAGCAGCCCGCACAGACCTGTAGGTAGTCCACAGCGCATTCTCGCTTTCCCCGCAGACGGCGGAACGTACCCGTTCGGACCTAGTCATTGCGCGCTCGTCTTGCTCGCCACTGTTTGGAACCAGCACATGGAGGACAGAGCCTCCGGACCATCTGACCAACACGCTTGTAGGACGACAGAAGACCAAGGACCAGATCCCAGCCTCATCCTGAGGAGTTGCGCGCTACAGTGAGCGCTGTTGGCTGCTGCTGTTACCCGAACTCTGGGCTGATGTGCGGTGAGTTTGTAGAAAGTTTTACATGTTGCTGTTTTATGAGTTCATGGTGATAAGATGAGGACGGCCCGCGGTATTAACAGGGAACATCAGTATTGGTTACTGGAGGTATCGCTGTTCTACCGGGATACAGAGGCTCGTTAATCGGACCAGTTTTAGTTTGTTTGCCGGTGTGAAAGCGGACCACACTGGAGTGTATCTGCTTCTCGTATGTCAAACATGGATGGAAGACGCTTGTTTTTGCCTTGTACTTTTTGCTAACATGTCGCCAAGCCTCTAGAATAGATCAGTGCAGTTTTGTCGTGCTTGCATATTGATGGGACAGCTGTGTTTGCCGCTGAGTGCTCGTGGATTTCGGCGACGCATTTGTGGAGCTTGGTCATCGGGTTGCCAACAAATTACGCACCGAGTGTTGAGTAGGTAAACAGTGTCAATGTCTTTTTATTTCTTATTAGCCCCTCCAATAAAGGTCCCATACTTATGAACAGGGGAATTCTGTCAGTGCCTCCTCTGCGCTCTGATGTTGTGGTTGTGGGAGCGTAAAGTGAAGTGCGCACACATGTACCACCATGTGTGATTTGTTTTGGTTTTTCGGTGACGCTCTATGTCCACGTGTACTCGTATTAACAGATCCACTTAGACTTGTTGCTTCACAACTGCTGTAAATTGAGTTTTGGGATGTAAACTGTGTTAATAATCTGTTGTTGTGAATCTACATGGGCACCGATTGCAGCTTCATCTGTCAGTGCGGCCTGCGGTAGGGGGTGGGATTGTGCGTACATGTACTGCGGGCCGCACTGACATTATTCTTTGGAATTAAGTGGAGGGCTGCAAAAAATCCTTCCGAGGGCCACAGATGGCCCCCGGGCCGCGAGTCTGAGACCCCTGAGCTAACATATACAATATAACAGCAAAGAGCAAAACAAAGGTAAAAAAAACAATTAGAGTCGCAGATACAGCAAAGTATAGATCTGAACAATTTGAGAAAAAGATATAATTGTGTTTGCAGTTAGGTTTGCATTGTTGTGTGTTTATATTTATGTTTTAATAATAGTATAATTTAATAATAAATTCACATTTTAAACTTGTCCAGAAGAAATGACAACTTATACTAGTTAATATTATAGAAAATGTTTGTGCAGATCTAAAGGTTACCAGTGTTTTTTGCAAAATAAGACAGCATATTTTGTTATTTGTGGAGGAAATTATGGTACTTCAAAAACTGCAGGCTTTGCGATTTGCTAATTGCGTCCATTCAGATTGCGATTTTGATTTGATTTTGATTCATCTTACAGCCCTAAAGAAGTAGATAACGTTTTTGCTGAAATAGGAGTAAGATTGCACTCTTTAGCAGCAGCATTTTACAGCAGTGGTAGGTAATACAACATAGCTCCAGTGACATGCTATTTGCTCAAAGTAGCGTTAAGGATGAGCCAACACTATCCCTGTTTCACAATTACTACCTTTTTAATTGGTACATGCTCCTCTGATATTACACCAGCACAGTGACCAATGAGTCAGTTGTAGTTGTAATAAGATAACTCAACCATAATAAATAACATTCATATCTGTAATTGCATTTTTAGAAGTTGCATAATTTACAGTGAAATACAATCCTCACGGGAGCAAATGAGGTGTTTAAAAAGTGCAGTGCATTGTGGGAGGGCAGGTGTCTTACAGGTCAGTGGTAAAGAGATTAGCTGTAGATGTGCTAATCGAATGTGTAATGTAGGGATGCACTGTTCCAGTACTCGTATTGGATATCGGGGCTGATACTGAAAAATTTGCTGGCTCAGATATCGGCTTCCAAATATGATGACGTTGATGTAATAATATTTACTGTTTGAACTTGTATGTATACAATTTTTTCTGCAGTTACTTGAGAGAGAAATAAACTGAGACAAAAATTATCCAATTGTGTACATTTAATTTTGTCATTATTTATTCGTTTGAATAGTGAAATATGTCAAGTTTTATTAAATGTCTATTTCTGATTAATTTTTTATATAAAACATTACTAGACATTAACTAACTATATAAAACAGCACCTAAGGTCCTACAGTTATTGTTGTATGGTTATTCATTCACAGCTCATAAAATGTCAACACTTTTAGTTTCATTATGACATCTAGGTGCTTCTGGATTTCCCTGTACATTCCATAACAATTGCTTCTCCTTTTAGTCATAAAAGAAAGTAGGAGAATGTATTTTGAAGATTTCGTTTTATTGCACCTCTCAAAAGCAGATTTATACTTAATGAGAGTGTTATTAGTGGCCACCAAAAAAGGAATTACTCGAAAATGGCTTAGACAGGAAACACCTACAATAAATGAATGGATTGACTTGGTGTATAACATTTTTAAAATGGAAAGGATTACATTTAAACTGAAGGTAGATATATTTGAATACCTATTGGTCAAAATGGTTAAAGTCTGTATCAACAAAAAGACCCAACTTTGTATGATGTAGTTAGGTCCATATACAAATCCCCACTTTTGTTTGTTTTGTTTTGTTTTGTTGTTACTGTTTGAATGTTGTCTATTTTTTATGTGTGTCTTTATACATGAGAAAAACCCAATAAAAAGTGAATGACAAAAAAAAAAGTTGATCATGTTGTGTGCTTACCCGTCAGCACAGAGAGCTCAATGGTGCTATTCCTGGTCAGGGAGGGAATGGTGGGGTGCCGGACAGTGCAGGTGTAGCTGCCCTCATCCAGAAAACTCACATTGTTCAGTGTGAGCACAGAGGATGGCAGGATCCAGTCTTCATACTGAAACACAGTCCCATTCTTTCATTTATTTCTTTTGAATATGTGTGTGTTTGCTGCTCTGTTCTGGAAACAATAGTGGCAAGAAGGTGACACAGCCTTTAAATGTAATTGTGGACTATTATGTAGAATGTTAAGAAGAAGTTACGATATAAACAAAGTTGCCATCTAAAGACCTGGACAAATTTGTCCCAGTTCTCCAAAAGTGTCCTATTTACCTGAGCTGCAATGGCAGTAATAGCACACATCAACACAAGTCAATAACCCAGATAGAGCAGCACTGAAGAGTGGAACTATACACTGTTAACACACAGCTTAATGAGATGGCAGGGGAGCAGGAATTGTTGACACAAAAATAGCAGCACCATTATAAGATAGAACCTGACATGAGGGGAACAAATACCAGGCCAAACACAAGGACTGGAAAACAAATGAACGGAGAGGAGGGTACAAAAAAAAAGACATTACACCATGCAAATGATTTGGCTCCTGGGAGCTGCAGTCCCTGCCAACAAAGTCCATTTCAATTTGAATGGATCTGAATTAAGAGGATTTCCCATAAAGGCCAGGTCTGGCCAAAGCAGCATTCTCTATGCAAATCTACTGGCTCCCAGAGCGCAGGCCTGCTCCTGCCCATGTCCTGCTGTCAGTGTGAGGGCCTCATGCCTGGAGCCTCTGTCTGTCAAAGGCCTCATACCACTACAATCACACTACAGTCACACTACAGTCCACACTGCACTAGAATCACACTAGAACAGTCCATCTAATCTACTCCTGTGCAAACATCAGCAGACTTTATGCACACTTTAAACCAGTGCCTGGACATGTGCCAGACAACTTCAGCTGTGCTTATTGTTACTCCAACTATTTTAGTGACTTGAAAAAGATGTGCATGAATCTATGGTAATTAACTGTATGAACAGTATAATGTGCACTGAATAGGATTTGTGGTTGTAAGCCCTTTGAAATACAGATTAGCAATGACCCTTAAATAAGCATATTAACCCAGAAGTACTTATCTTAAGAATAACAAAAGGAGAAAGTCTCCAATTATGTCTGGCTATTCCCAAAAGGGCCTTCTCTTTCATGGTGCCATCTCACCTGTCGCTCCAAGCGACAATAGTCATTAAGTGACAGCTCAAAGTGTAGTGGCAGCTCGCATCCACAAGGGCACGCCGTCTCCTCTGACTCATTAGCTTCTTCTTGTCCGACATGTCTGTTGTCACTGTGGCATTTCACTCAGAGACATCTTAATTTCCCAGGGGCGTGGACTCCTCAGCTTTCAGAGGAGGCCAGTTGAATAATTCAATGGTGGTTAACCAAACACTACAAAAATCATTAGGAATCTATCCACATAATTGTTTTCAGGTTGACTGGCTCTTGTCTAGACCTCATTAAACTATTAATCCTGTGTAAGTGGGAAAGCTGCAATCCCCTGCGACTTGTGGGCCGGAGCCAACTGGTCACTTAAACAGCACAGCACTTGTGTGGAAGAGCCACGCAGGGAACAAGCTGCTACACTGAGCTCTTACAGGTCTGTGAAAAGAACATGTCTACTTCACATCTACAGGACAACTTTAGTGTGAAGGGTCTGAGAGAGGTGTAAGATGTTGTGTTATTGTCATTTTTGTGACAGAAAAAAGGAAAATATTTTTAAACCAAATATATAACTAAAATCCGTGCATTTTTATTATATAAATTATTATATATACAATTTGATCTACCTGGATAAGGAAAATAAGACATAATTTATAAGAGAGAAAAAGAAGATCATACAGATAGATAAAGTAGATAAGTTCCCCTTCCTTAGCCTCCTCACCTGCTTGTACCAGAAGAATTCCAGCTCTTCGGACGACTCAGCTTTGCACTTCAACACAACATCCTCTGATTCTCTCACCGTGAGTATGTCATTGACTGTACCACGGTCGCCCTCCCGGGACAGCCACGGGCCATACAAGTCTAACACACAGGAGAAAAACAGGAATGAAGGCGTATGATCTACAAGCAATGAGACTGTGGCTGTGATTGTTATCTATTAAGAATGTCACTTAAGGGAACAGTTAAAAAGAACAGTGTAAAAATAAAAAAAAAGAACTGCTCTAAATGTAATAGCCATATTTGATGCAAACATGCAGCTTCAATGAATTTGGCATTGTGCATATGAAAGAACACTATCAAAATAGATAGATATTTTTTTTAAATGTTACTGCAGCTGGGTTGTATGTGAGACAAGAATTGTTTGGTAATTTAACTCTAAATACTAACCATATTTTTAATATACCATCACATAGGAAAGGTAAAACTGACCGACCACATTTTCCAGCAATAAACACATTTTAGATTACATTTAAAGATTTTGGGGTGAATGCCTCCCAGTTGTGGCAACTCCACAGAGCAATCAATAAGGATGATAATAGTCTTCATCATGGGGAGGTCTTTAGAAAAGCAGTGTTGTGAATAATGGCTCATTTTGTCCTCCATAGTGAGGAGATGGTCCATGTCCGTCAAAAGTCCGGCTGCCTTCCCGTCTCCGCAGGCCTTTAGTCCAGTCTAATCTTTGCCTTGTATTGATCCCCCCCCATGAGTCCGAGGGGCCCATCAAAAGGCATTATGTGCCATTTGATTGCCACTGAGAAGACAGAGGATGCTGATAATCTAAGATATGCCAAGGAGAATATTTAAGGCATCCTTCACTGCCAAAGCATATCTACAACAGTTTTTGGTACTTGGTAATAAATTATATTATGATATGCGTAGACCATTGTTTATGAACTGCAATATTAATCTAAAATGACTTAGTAATGTAAACAGGTCAACTGCTATCATATACTGTAAGTTTTTCTGTAATGTCTTTATTAAGGTCTGGCACAGAAGTCACAATACTCATTAATGGAAGTAGCTCCCTGACTGAAAAAAAAGTTGCAACCACCATTAAACCCCAAAAACAGAGGAGCACATCTCCTTTAAAATGTTCTTTAAAATGTAATGTGAACTTACAGTGGACGGTGATGTTCAGTGGTTCAGTGTACTCTGCAGCAGTCACATTGGGGCCGTCCAACACACAACGATAAGGTCCGAGTTGTCTTGGAGACATAAAGAAAAACTTCAGCATGAGTTTGTCCTCTGTCCGCATTGTCCGTGAAAAGCATCTGTAGCCCCAACTGCCTATGGACCTCCATTCATTGCCGAACTGAGGAGACAGAGAAATTATCACTTAAGTAAAGCACAAATGTAAGTGTCATGTTTTCCAAAGCAGATTATTTCACACATGGTGAACCTGAATTGACATCTGAAAATGTACATCCATTATTCAAACAGGTCATTTAGTTGCATGTCAGTGTGCAGACTTAAAATACAAAATTTTATTTACATATTGCTCCATATGGACATTGTCTATGGAGTATTCGGAGTCTTCCAGAAGGCATTCCACACTGTAAGGTTTCCCGGCCAGTGCAACCTCAGGATTCCCTCTGATGAGCAGAGTAGCTGCGTGTAAACAGAAAGCAGGTCAGTTACATCACAACATAAAAACACAGGGGAAATGAAACAAAAACAAAAAATGTAAACCTTAAACACAACCTGTTCCTCTTCTAGGGAATGGTGACTATTACAGAACATGGAAATACCCCACACTAAAGGTTTAGTAGGCTAACCGGTTCTTCAAGTTAGTATCAAAAGTGACCAGATGTTGATATGTGTTTTGAATGTTCTGTTGGATAATAAATGCACCACAGAAGTGCATTATCAATTTAGTTATAACAATACTTTTAGCTGACATGGTAAAAACATGGTCAAAGAATACACCATACCAATAGAATAGAGCAACTACTCTACTTGGTTGCAAAATGAAGAAATAAATTAAAACACATAAATAAAATCTACTCTTGTTTTATATATATATATCCTTTCAATCTATAGGCTTGCAGGAATGGAATCAAAAGAAAAAGAAAAAAAAATAAGCAGAAGAAATTCTTTGAGAGAGAGCAGCCCAGAACCGGATGAAAAGGTAAATAAACCTACGCAACACATGACAAGTAATAAATAGGTCCAAGTTATAGTTTCTATAGAGAAATAGTCTACATAAATGTTATATTTACCACCGCTGCCTTGTATCAGGGCGATCACCAAAGCTGCTAGGAGAGCTTTCATGGTTGTAGAGATACAAAACACAACAATTCAGAAGTGCGCACTAAGAGAGCAGAAGTCCTTCCTTATATTTTCTACAAGAGGAGGCGTGGCTTTCGCTTTCACCTGCTCGGGACGTAAAAGTGCTCAAAAAACATAATACGATATTAGTTAAACCATGGAGTTAAACATATCCCACTGACAATCGTTGGGAAAGTGCACGTGCTTCTAGTAGGATAAAGCGTCAGATAAATAAGAAAAAGAGGCACTAAAATTAAAAATGCTCCGTGTGACGTCTGTTTCTAAACAGGAATGTCATTTCTCAAATTAGAAAATAAGTGATAAACAAAATGCCTAAGCTTGCATTATGCCATAAACGCGTGTCCATTTCGGTCCATTTCTCCTTCAGATCCCACAAAGCTGCACGCTTCATATGGTCTATGATTGATTTGCTTTTAACCTGATCTAGTTCAGAGGGAAGAAGATGCTGACGCATTAACACATTGTTGTTTAATGATAATAACATATAAGTAGTAGGCCTTATTGTTCTCATATTGCTAGAGCTGTTTCATTTTGTCAAGTCATATGATGACAATAGGCAATATATTGGTCAAATGATGACCAATACAAATGTTCTGTTGTTTGTAGAGGCTACTAAGCACAATATTATGATTAGCAAGCCAGTTTACAAATGGGCCAGCAGGGAGCAGACAAGAAAATGGAAAAACTGTCACCGGAAATAGAAGGAAAGTGGGCGGAAGGGCAGAAAAAAACAACAGCATCAATGCTGTTTCTTTTTTCCTGGCATCAGATTTTGGATTTTGGTGACATCCTGATACAGTTCAAGCAACTACAACAAACAATGGACAGATAGTGTTTATTTTATGGTAAGATATCAATGACTGATGCACAGATCTGCTACGGATTACAGCGTTGGATTCCCCGTATGTGTTAGCACTCGCAGCTAATGCTATTGTTTTTAGCACCTGTTCCCCCTTCGTTTTTCAGTTTTATTTACTCATCTGTTATATTACATACATGATGTTGAGAGCGTTGTAATGTTGCAATACGTCGTAGATTTATTTTTTGTGGATGCCATCTCCTGTCTTAGTACAGATAGCCTATGTAATTGCCATGGAGCTAACGCTTATGCTAACCAACACAACAACTCTTTTAGGTTTACGGACATCTACATCTGTAAAAGACAACATCTGGATTTCTGATCAACTTGAACAGAAACCGAGACACCCCGATTCGACATATCCGCGTCCCCAAACTTCCAAAGGAGTATAAACTGGTTGTTGCTGCAGCATGGCGAATAGCACGACTCCAGCTCTGAAGGTTTTGACAGCCGCGGGTCCTGCTGGTAGAAGTAGCCCAGAGGGGTCACAAGTGAGTGGATCTTAAATACTTGCTAAAAGTATAATATAAAACTATTAAAAGTATTTTCTCTCATGTCATCTGATTTCTTGTCAGGTTCTCTCCAAAAAGAAACTACAAGACCTGGTCAGAGAGATTGATCCAAATGAGCAGCTGGATGAAGATGTAGAGGAGGTTTGAGTTTTTTGTAGTTGTAATAATGATAATAAAAGCCTATAAACTATTATTTTGTGCTGTATATCAAGTTCCCCAACACATCACACACTTATGGAGCGCAACAGTGATCACGCAGACTTTCTGGGGAAAAAAAGAAGTTTAAATTTTGAAAGCTTGCTCAGGGATAATCTGCTACATGTTAACTAATGTCGACAAGACCTATAATTTTATAACACAATGGACTCCAGGCACTCCAAAGAAGTAAAAATCGCACTAGGAAAAATATAGTCAAACTGGTCTTTCAACCAGCATGTTTCGACCAGGTTGCTCGAAACATGCTGGTTTTGACCATTTAAATAAAGGTCTTTTAACTATATTTTTCCTCGTGCAATTTTTACTTCTTTGGAATGCGTGGAGTTCGTTATGTTTTAAGGTTTGATACTTTTTCCAAGAGCACCCTCTACCTGCTCTCACTGATTGGAACACCTGCAGCAAACAGCCAAATTTTAGTTCTTTCTCTACCTATAATTTTATGTCAAATTTTTTTCTGTAACTCTATAAACTGTGAAGTTATTAAAACATTTTACTGAATCTTGCATTTTAAACGGCCTTTTTGGACTTCAAACAACCACATTATGGATTTCAATGTCCACGTTATGGTCTGCGATGTCTTTGAACTTTGAATATGTGTATTTTTAGAAAAGTCTATGGGAAAACTGACTTCTGGAACCTGTGCAACCTTTGCGCTCCATTTATTTTTAGCCTTAATTAAATACATGTAGACTTTTCAGAAACTGTATTTGTTACTACTTGTGACTCCTGTCACAATGTCACACTGAAAAATAACATACTGCTACTGTGAGTGTAAGGTTTATATTGTGATTAAACTAAACAATCCAAAATACACATTATTTCATCCATTCCCCAATAATATTAAATGTTACCTATTTTCCATTCTTCAGATGCTGCTGCAAATTGCTGATGACTTTATTGAAAGTGTAGTGACTGCTGCCTGTCAACTGGCACGCCATCGCAAATCCAACACTTTGGAGGTGAAAGATGTTCAGTTACATCTAGGTGAGTTCATGGTAGATTTTCAATACATAGAAACAGTATTGTGTATTAAAAAATAATTAATGTACAATGGTCATTATTAAACACTGGAATACTGAGACTATGTGTTTACCAGTGCAGTTTTACTTCAATAATATTTGTTATAAGTGTGCTTGAGTATTCAGCAAGTAGATGTGCATGTCTATTTCGAGTAACATTGTACACCACAATTTTTAATTTATTTATTTTTACATCCAAAGCTACTGGCTGTAGTAATATTATTTTTAGTTTAGTAATATTTATTTGACACATATTTTGAAATGTAAATAATACATTCTAAGGCTATAGCTTAAAAGTCAGTTTTGTCATATATTAAGTGTTGTGTTTAAACTGTCTTTTCTAGAGCGCCAGTGGAACATGTGGATTCCTGGTTACGGATCAGACGAGATACGGCCATTTAAGAAAGCTTGCACCACAGAGGCACATAAACAGGTAAACTGGATAGCTCTTCATTTCTTCTTTTTTTTTAAAAGGAAACCTGCGTAATCTGTCAAAAATTAAATATGAAACATGTTTATATGAACTTATTTATTTTTCTTTCAGAGGATGGCACTGATCCGCAAGACAACCAAAAAGTAGCAAGACTGTACATTGACCTGTTGTACTTATCGTGTATTTCTTATGGTTTACTTTATTTTTTATGAAGACAAGTCTGGTTTGTGTAGGATTTTGTTTTTGTCAGTAGATTTTTATTACATTAATTTCTTGTTTTGAGACCATCATTACACAAGTCTTGTCTACTACACATTTTAATTTCATTTTCATTGTATCTGAAAAAAACACAACACAATGACTGCATTTTTTTTTTTTGCCAATAAACCAACAAACCCAGTGTGTCTGTCAACATGTGTCTTATTTACAATAATTCATATACATACAGTTCTACAATTGTGCATAACAGAGATGAGATGTGATGATGTGTGGTTTGGTTTTAATATACACATTTAAAATTGACCTCTTTTTTTCAATTTCTAGCTGCATTTCCAAGTTAAAAATGTACAGTTTAGAATGTTTGGTATATTAATGCTAAATGTTAAAATCATGTAACATCACGAATGCAAACATTAAAATTTTAGCTTAGCCCCATCATATGTAAGTAACATAATTTTTTTTTTTCCAAATACTGATTACTGATACTGTTGTATATTGTATATGAGAAAAAGGGTAGGTGTAGAACTGTCAATTTCAATCCACAATAGTACTTTATGTAATTCAGTATAATTAAAACTAGTGAAAACTATGCATTTAACAGTTTCATTGTAAAGCTGTAGTGGCCTGATCCGTTCATAAAGGTCGTATAGTACACAAGATTTACTCAAGTGAGCTTTAAGTCATGTTATAATGTTGTTACCTCTTAAGAAACATATCCAGAGTTGTGTTTTGTTTCATTCACGTTTGAGTAATCCTGCATTTTTAGTCTGTCTGTATTGCTAAAGATCAAAATGCTGTGTTCCACCTTATGATGTCACAGGTAGTTTTAAAGTTAACAGCTACTTTTAGCTTCAAATGAACCCTACAACTTTTCAATACATTAGAGTTTGTATGGAGTTTAAAACGCAGAACAGTATGTTCAGTTTGAGAGAAGAACACAGCCTAAATACACAGGGTTTGTGTGCTGAACATGTATGAATGAAACAAAACACAGCTCCAGGTATGTTTCTGAAGAAGGAACAACATAACATAGATCAACAAAATGTGCAATCTAGGCCCATACACTTGTGTAGAACATCATGACTATGTAGCTTCTGATAAATGCGCTGAATTAGGTTCTCAAATACCTCACTGACATTTTGTCCAGTTTTGGCAGAGGTCTCCACATAGGGCATGTCCAGCTCTTCAGCCAGCCTCTCCGCCTCCTCTCGACTCACTCCTCTGAGCTCCTCTTCGTCACACTTTTGGCCCACCAGTATTAATACGACTTTGCTCTCAGCTTCGCACAAGTCAGCGTGCCACTCTTTTATGTGCTCAAATGTGACTCTGTCCGTTATATCAAACACCAGCAGTCCTCCCACAGAATCATGGTAATGGCAGCGAATCAGTGGCCTAAACATAATGAGTGTAGAAGTCAGATTTTGGTCAGTATTTTGTAATTTTTCTGGTGGTGATCTGCCCCCTGCTCACCTCTACAGAGATGATATGGATTTGACTGGAATGTTCAACAGTATGGCATTTAGCTCATCCATATTGCATTTCTATATATCCTCTCAGATCTGAGAATTTGACCTGTAATTTGCAGAGGCGGGTACTACTCAGTTACAGTTACTTTTTAAAGAAATTGTACTTTTCATAGTACTTTTCTAGCTGCATACTTTTAATCCTATTTGAGTAATATTTTTACTGTAAAAGTAAATTTTTTGGTTACTCTTTCCCATTGTCACTAAATCTACAAGTGACAAAAACTTTATGTTGCAAATATTAAATGATTTAAACATTTGTGTTTCTAGTTCTGCTCATTCAGATATTATTTAGTTTATCTAATTTGTGGCTATCCATGAAAAATACCAGATTTTGGATATTGTTGTTTTGCCCTTGACATTTAAAATGAGAAGTATGTCCTGAGACTTACTCCTTACGTTATTCAAGAAACTGCTCTTTAGACAGGCTTTTAGTTGACTGTGTCTGTAATTCCTCTGTTCTTGTTTATGTAGTTTTTATGCTGTTTTGCTCTGTAAAGCACTTTGTGATTTTTTTTTTATCTGTGAAAGGTGCTATATAAATAAAGATTTACTTACTTACTTACTTGAGTAGAAGTTTTTTACAATATCTTTTACTTGAGTAATTTCTTGGACCGCTACTTTGTATTTCTACTTGAGCAATATTTTTAAGTAACATTACTCTTTCTTGAGTACAATGTTTGGCTACTCTACCTACCTCTGATAATTTGGCTTGATTGTGTCACCTGCTTGTCTTCATGGAGATGAATAACCTTAATGCCATACTGTGAAACATAACAAGAAATGTGAAAGTTACCTAGTGCCCTTTGAACCAAACATTTTAACATGATGCACTGCAAACTATAGGTAGTTTAGTATCATTTGAATCCAATATTATAATCAAGATCAATATAAGATAAGATAATCCTTTTATTGTCTTGAGAAATTTGTTTCGAAACAAGGGGTTATCATGCTTTAACAAAGACAAGACAACACAGCAACATAAGCCCATACAAACATCCACCGTACAAAATGAATAAATAAGAGACAAAGTATAGCCACGAGTGATACCGCAGGATCAGACAAGCCTTTCAGTCTTATATTCTATTGATAATTGCACATTCCCAAAGCCTATGTGCAGTTGTAATTGCATTTAACATGGCATTATTACTGTAATGAACTTCTTTATGCTCACCTGAATATCTCCAATCCACCTGTGTCCCATATACTCAGTTTTACATGTACACCTGGCTCAATTTCCAATGAATGGGCAAAAGACTCTACACATAACGTCAAGCCTGGACACTTATACTCATTTTCCATGTAACGATGAAGCAAACAGGATTTTCCCACATTAGAGTCCCCCAGCACAATGATTTGAAACGTATTTTCTTCCTTCTGTGCTCCGTCCATCAAGGCCTCTCTGTAGAAATGAAAAGTTTCTTACTAACATGCAACAGAGAGATCAACAAAAGGTAAAGACAGTACATAAAAATCAGTATACATACAAATTGTAGTCTTGAGCAGTTGTGAAGCCTTGTTTGGTATTAAGGCAGGATACATTGCAATACTGTTAGAAGAGTCATGTTCTTGCAAGTGGGTAAAAGGGTGGTGTCTGTTTGCATGTTACAACTTGAATAAAACAGGAAAAACAAAGAGAACTACAGTTGATTTTTACAGTTTATTTGTCACATTTGATTACACTATCCACAATATTTCAAATCTTCAAAACCTTTCTCAATTAGTCAAAGGCAACTACTGTTAATGTAAAATGCAGTTTTTAGTTATGCGTTATGTCAGTCCATACACACACAAACCCCTTCAAATGTAAAGACACCATTTGTTAGGACATGGGATAACTTAGATTAAAGGTCCTATACTACACAAAATTGACTTTTGTGATCTTTAAGCCATTTTATAATGTTGGCACCTCCTCAAAAGCATACCTGGAGTTGTGTTTTATCTCATTCACACATGTTTGAGTACCTTCAGTTCAGTAAATATTGTCAATTCTCGGACTGAAATCATCCAAATAATTTTAGTGAGGGTGTATGGGGTTTAAAAACAGTGGAGCACTTCCTGTATTATCACATGACATCATAAGGTGTACAATCTAACTCTTTTTAGTGGGTGTGGGTTGCATTGCATGTCCCAAAACCAATCCCATATCTCAAGTGCAAGGTTGTTAATGGCTTATAAGCTTTTTGTGTATAAAGACTAGGATTGGTAAGAGTAATAGGTGTGCTCGATTGTTTGATTCCTCTGATCAATAATAGATTATGGCCCTTACTAGGTGACGAGGTACTTCCTTTCTATCTACTTTTAATGACTGTTACCCCATTGTCTAACATAGGCTGTCCATTTGCAAACATATGAGAAAATGGCATTTAGTGCTAAACAATTTAAATATTATAAACAAAAACAAATATTCAAATCTTGCACAATTCTACAGTCAACACAGCATTAACAGTTCAGCTTTCACTTCATACTTAGTATCTCATAAAACTATAGCGCATCTGCAACAGTAAAATAAATAAAAAATGTGTTTAATCTGATCTTTTTTTCTTACAAAATACAAATTAATGTCAAGAGATGACCTTTATTCTTTGAACTAGAGGTGGAAGATTTTGATAAAAAATGAATATCTCAATATTCTGGAGCATGGGGTTTCAAAATACACACTTCTTCAATACTTATCGAAGATGTGATCACTGGTGAATCTCCATTTTCATGACTGGGCATGGATAGATTGACAGGTAGACTAGCCAATCAGGGACATGCACAGCTTGTTCAATTTTATCTTGTTTGTAGACTATATATAACTGCCCAGCTCTACTTCAAATTTGGACTGTGCAACTCAATTTAAATAGCAAATGTTAAAGATTGAGATTAACATGAATTATGGATCATCGCCATATTGTCTGATCGCCAAGCCCTGTTTCAAACCATTACCATCATTATTAACCACAACATTTCTTCTCTTTGGCAGCAGCATTAGCTTGAGCCATACTTTCCCTCCTCATCTGTAGAGCCTGAGGAGCAGCACATTTGATCCCATCCCAGCCCTCCTGTAGCTGCACCTCTCCGCTCAACAGCCCCTGGTACACTCTTCTCGCCACCATCTCAAACGCCTCCCTCACATTGTGCCCGTTTTTAGCTGAAGTTTCCACGTAGGGCATTCCCAAGTGTCCGGCCAGCTTCTCCGCCTCCTCCCGGCTCACTGCCCGGTCCCCGTGCTCCTGCAGGTCAGACTTATGGCCCACAAGGACGAAGACCACTTTGTGAGGTTGGACTCTCTCACAGACCTCCGCGTGCCATTCTTTTATGTGGTCGAATGAGGCTCGGTTGGTCATGTCAAACACCAGAAGTCCTCCCACAGAATTGCGGTAATAAGAGCGTGTCACTGACCTAAGGAAAAACAAAGGAAAATGTTGCAAGGGAGTCAACAGAGGAGAACAAAGGAGTCTATTGTCCCAGGGCCCAGAATTGAAACCTCTGCCTATTAATTTATATTAGAGTGTGGTCCATGTAAGCCTTCTTGTACTAGGCCCCCAAATTTATGTTGACAGATTTGGTTAGAAAATTGGTTGTGTAGAAAAACAGGGGCCAACCTTAGACTGTACAAAGCCGTGGACCAAGTGAGTGTGACGTCATTCATAGTGTTTGGCTACAGCAGTTACAGGAGCAAATTTGGAGAAAGGTCCATATTAGGTATACAAATGTATTTACGGATAAAATTGCAAAATAAAAATACCAGTTAGTACAAACATTTTAAAAACACAAAATTCACTGCCGCAGGTACTGACAGGGGTGACAATGTGTTAATCTAAAATGTAGTATATATACAAAATTCAAGATTTTGATATATATTTTACCAAATTGTCTCTATTTTGAGCATTTCGGTGAAGTTTATAATTTTACTTCCTGGCTTGACATGGATAGCAGATGATGTTCCCTAACAAAAATAGCAACAAAAACCCAGACCTCAAAATTGCACAACAGTGATGACTGGACTAATACAACATTTGTTTTGTTAAATACATGTTGTAGGCAGAGGTATTGTGTTTTTGAACTCACTGCTATTTCCTTTATTTTCATACCTTTCTTCTCATGTTACTGAGTCTGTTCACATAAATCTAAGTGACATATAAAGTTCAGCGTCTCCTTTGTCAGCACAAATAAGCTGGCCTGTGTTTGAATTTCTACTGACACCATAATTTTTACAGAAGCAAAAGTAATGGTTCACTAATCTTAATTTGTTCTGACAGAAAAGAGATAAAATTCCACGCCAGTTTTTCCCCATGATGTTATGCGCAGTAATTCTAGAGATATACATATACAAGGTTAAACATCTGCATATGGAAGATTAAAAGGTAAGTTTAGACTGTTGTAATCAGATGTCACATGTCACGGTCCTGCTCAGTTGTGTGTGAAATGAGTAATAATGAGAAGTCCATTGGGAGAGTTAATAATCCTGGTGTAAAAGTCAAAGGGCGTGGATTTCTATTGTAACCAAATTGAGCAACTGGTTTCCTCAGTAGTGCAGCCAGTCCAGGTACTTGCTAAACATCTTGCCTCGCGTACACCCTGGCCATGTAATCATATTCAATTACTGCATGTCATCACTAATCGAGGAAATTTCCAAAATCAAACTAACCTGTGCCATTAAAGAGATCATAAACATACAAATCAGGCAAAAAGAATTAAAGTGGTTGGGTACCTCTGAATGAGTGGGAGACATTAACTTGTAGTAACTATTATGTATCTGTATTTATTTACATCAGTAACTAGCAATAAAAATACAAATACTGTGTAGTAATACTACTATGCAGCTCTGCTTGAATACCACACCTGCAGGTGACTATCACTGGAAAAACAAATGCTAGTTTATGTTGCGCTCCACATTTGCATCTTCAGTAGGAACGTCTGTTGCAGCTGTGTGTCTGTGTTCAGACGTTTAGAGGCTTTGACTGAACACTATCAGAAGATAATAAATTAAGATTATGGATTAGTTGTGAAATATTTACCAACCTAAAACTACAAAAAATACAAAAAGTAACCTCTTAATACACCTAAAAATTTGGAAGTGTTAAATCATTTGAACCACCTTTGAATAACTAAAATAAACCAGAATGTAAACAAAACAAATGTGATATGATTATTGTCATAAGAACATATTTCCTTTTTTGTCATAGAAATACAAAAATGGGTACAGGTCTCTGTTTATTGCTGCTTCTGAAACACTGGTGTAAGGTACAGAGATACACTAAATGATGTTGTTGATCCTCACCTGAATCTTTCCTGCCCGGCTGTGTCCCAGAACTGCAGCTTGACTCGGACGCCTGGTTCCACTTCCAGGAAGTGCACATAGAAGTCTACGCCCACCGTTTGGTTGATGGTGTCTAGAAACAGATCTTCAGTGTATCGCTTTAACAGAGAGGACTTCCCCACAGTGGAGTCCCCCAGCATGATGATCCGGAACTGGTACTGCCACAGAGTCAGATCCATCAGAGCAGTTACCTCTTAGGGCCCTGGAGATTGAAAAATATACACTTTAAAAACTAAAGAAGAACAATTTAGAACAATTTAGAAAAGAAAGTTGAGGGAAAAACAACTTACCAACTTCCAAAGAGACTCCACACTGTTGACAAGCCACCATGCAGCCTCCCTCTGTATCAGTCTTGCAATCAGTTGAAAGCTCTCGTTATCCAAAACAAACATTCTTGTAATCCAGAGCAGACATACTGTAACTCATCTGTTTATGGTCCTTAATTCTCTCACACAAGTCTACCTATAAATAAACTATGAATTTAAAGAAATGCAAGTCCCATTTTTACTGTATAGCTCAAATCGGCTGATCTGAATGGCTACCGGGAGCATATTGCTATACAGGGGTGTGGACTTCCAAAGTTTGCATGCCATTACTTGACAGAAGGCGTGGTTTGATCACAAGGACACAAAAGCACAGGGCCATATAAAAGCAGGAGGAGGAGAAAGGGAGCTGGAGTTTAAGGAAGTGATGAACTAATAATGGTTCAACACAAACATGGAGGCTTCCTGGTGAACTCTACTGCTTTGCACACAATATGAAAGCATAGGTTATACTATAAAGCAAATACTGCAGTCTAAAGGAGGAAGCTGGTAACAATACAATCTCATGGGAAACATAGAATTGCTGCTCCTGGATACACAAATATGTATTGTGTAAATATGTGACATCATTACAAAATGATGTCTGAAAAGTTAAGGTGTAACCAGTGTCTATTTTTAACCTGCACTGAAATTTAGCCCAACAAGGAGGGCTAAGTGATGTCTTTAGCAGAAATTTAAGGTCAGAAAAAGTGAATACTTAACAAATGCATATGCAGTTATATCATGCTATTATGATACTGTCCAAAAACAGCTACTTAAAGTAACATTATGAAACTTTTCTGGGGTAGGATCTGCCACCTGCTTATCTCCATGGAGAAAAGAAGGAGATACCACTAGGCCAAGTTACAGGTCAGATCTGTGGAGAGATGACTCTGATCACAGAAAAAATGCATGTTTTCTTTCTTTTTTTCAAACACTTGTCAAGACAAATTAATGCCAAACTGTGGAACATTCCAGACAAAGCAATAATCCCTCCATGGAGACAAGCATGCAGTTAAATCTCCATCAAAAAGCTACAGAGTTCACCTTTAAATATAAATATATATGGAAATTATTTGTTTTTGTTATTGTTCTTATGTTTTTTAAACCAACCTCTGACTGACAGCTAAAAGCAAAAGCATTTAATGAATACAGGAAACCTATTAAAGCAAATATAGTTTTATATGTTTTGCATGCATCCAAGAAAGTACAATTTAAATATAGCACTTATTATAATATTTAAAATACCAAAATAATCCCAGCACTTGAGGTTGAGGTCCATATTTTACAACACATTGTCTGACACCTCCACATAAAACTGTAAGGTGTCTCATTTTTTTTTAATGGTTATTATACTATAAGATATTTTAACTTTGGATTTTGTTTGCTTTGTGACTTGAATAATGCATGTTTCTTCTCAGCTATGCCAGCCATATGTAAACAAAATGTGTTGATATAAGCAGGAAATGGCTTCAGACACAAAGGTCATAACTACAGGCCCAGAGTAACAACATAAATATCCCTGGTTGGATAAATTCAAGTCAAACAACTGAGGACAGAATGGTTTCCAATAGATAAACAGTAATTTGTGTGTAAACCCTACATTCACCACACAGTATTAAAATCCTAAAACATAACATTTACATAAGATACCCTTATTCTTATTGCAGTAGTTTGAATGACAATATAAAAACACGCCTATCTGAAAAACTGCATTTGTCTCAGAAGATTAAAAAACTAATAAGTTAAGGAGTGGTACATTCTGCTCATCAGTGTGTGTAACGTTTTTTGCATTGTTCATTTCATTCGTGTTACTGGTTTTAGTTCATGCAGGAGAGGATCTCACGACAAAGAGGGAAACTTGAGTTCAGACAGGTCCTCATCAGGAGAGCTACTGCCACTGCGGTCGCTGTAAGTGTCTCTGTAACACAAGATAAAGGGGAAGTTAGTCTTGTCACGCATTGTCAAGCATAGGTCAATATTATTTTGGTACAACTAGCCGTGCAACTGTGAATAAAGATGCATAGAGCTTTATTTGACCACTTTAGTCCAGACAGTTCTGTAAAAATGTCACTACACTGTTGTGTTCATGGATGAGTTTGAATTTAAATTAGATTTTCGGGAAAGTTACCAAAATCATCCAAATGTATCAGCCCCAAAAATATTGGCAGAGCTTATTGGTCATCTGTATTGTCATGAGAGATAAAAAAAAAAAACTGGTCTAACTAAAACTAGTATATAAAGATATTAATTTGAACAAGTACTGATAGTGAAAAAATTAGATAAACAGAATCAAATATGAGAGTTTTAAATCTTGAGCTTTATCAGAACTAGGTTACTAGAACTAGCTTACTTTACTAGAACTAGTAGACTTCAAGATTTTGTGTTGAAAAAGAAAAAAATTGTGTGGTGTGGTATCAAAGTCAGTATAAAGTATTCAGTCTATTGCGTAGTATCCCAGTCAGGCTTGAAATTGTAGTATTATGACAAAACTAATTCAGGCAAAAAGCTAGTTCAGTTAATTGTAATAATTAAAAAAAAAAGTACGGTACTGAATTTGGAGTTTTATTAAAAAAAGGAAAATCTAAAAATTGGCTCAATGTTTGCTGTATTTGTTGTTGACTAATGCCAACTTGAAATGAAATCAAGTCAGCTTTGATCTCCAATCTAATCTACAATTTCTTGTCACTTCCTGTTTGATGGACATCCCTGTCAGACTGTACCTTGGGGAGAGACGGCAGCCCTTGGCCAGGTACCCTGGTAGTTTCCCAGCAGCTGCCAGGAGAAGACCGAAATATGGAGGAGAGGGTTTGATGGGTCTGGACGTGAACTCTGGATGGTACTGCACTCCCACAAAGTAACAATGATCTGAAAACATATGTACATGGTTATACCGACTATACAGACTGAAAAGCAGCATAGCATTGCATTAAAGGTGAAGTGTGTAACTTTTTGGTTGGGGGTCTGTCACCTGCTTGTTTCTATGGATATGTCATTGCTCTGTCTGGAATGTTCCATAGTATGACATTAAACAGCTCTACCTTACATGTATGAAATTACAGGAGGTTCTAAAGCTCAAAAATAACTAGAAAATCAGGCATGACTATGAGCTCTCCACAGATCTGATTTGTAACTTGGTCTAGTTTGGTCTCCACGAAGACAGAAATATGTAATACCATACTGTGAAACCTTCCAGACAAAAAAATAACATCTCCATGGAGAAAAGCATTTGACGGATCCTCCACCAGAAAAGTTACACAATGCACATTTAACACTTGTGGTACTACTGCACATACCATCTAACTCTATGACCTCCATTCTTTCCCCGTTCACATCCTGGCCGACAAACTGGAAGCCCTTTTTCTCAAAATGGTGCTTCAGCTCATGGTTCACCTAAAGAAAACCCCAATTACTTGGACTTGGAGATATGCATAAGAAATGTGCAAACATTAATCTTTAATTTTTAAAAAAAGGTAGATTTTTAGAGATGTACTACCAGTGTGTATTTGTAATGTGTATGTATGTGTTTTTTTTATCTAATTTCTGTAATGTTTGTAAAGAGACACTATGATGTACTTAACTGTATAGTGAAGGTTTAACTAGATAGTGAAGGTTGACTTTGGAGGGGACGACAAACAAATAAAGATCATGTAGATGAAATATTGTAAATTAGGAGTAGGCTTAAAAAAGATATGCTTCTTACTTTTCCTTTTTTCAACACTATATTTTTACACAATATTTTATCATTTTTTTCAGTTTCTTTTGGTTAAATTTACATGTTTTGAATGTCTTCCCAAGTATAGAGAGAGAGAGATATGAGAGACATGTTGTGCTTTCTTAAATTTTAAAATGTTCATAATAAAGTAACTCTAACTAACTAATTATAATCTGGTGATAGAAGACAAAACTACTCATTATTATCAGTAAATATGAATCGCAATTGCACCTCAAATCTGTGCCTGTGTCTTTCATCGACGTACTCCACATCTCCATATAGCTTTCCTGCAACAAAGAAGCGTCTGCTATCAAAACTCGGGAACTTCAAAGCTGTGAAAAGTCTACACACATATACACACGCGCTTACTCATAACACTGTTAGCAGAGGTAAAAATGGTACGCCTCTTCCCTAACCTCATGGTCCCTCCCATCTGCCCGGAGTTGTGCTCAGGCATGTCAATCACCTGTCAACATCAAAAGGCCCACAGTTAATGCTATTCTGGTGGAGACGGCTGCAGCTACCACGGCGATATGAGCTGCGTATAAAGAAGAAGATAACCTACCACTGGGTGTTTGGAGTCAGGATTAAATTCTGTGGAGTTGGCATCTGAAAAGAAGATAAGGAGGAGAAAAAACACAGATCAAATTAATCAAATGCTATTTCATCATTAAAGAGGGGGTATTGCACTGCTATGGGGTAGTCATTGTTACTGCATATCATAGTTAGATCGCCATGTTACCTTTTATCATTCTGAAAATGTTATACGCACCGAAAACAACTTGTTAAAATGTTTAAATAGTTTGAGTTTTGTTTTTGACTGCTCCCCCTACATCATGCTCCCTGCGCTAAGTCACTCCCCCTTCAGAGTGCTGTCAAACACAATCAGCGTACACTCCGCTAACTAAATTACTGCACATCACATCAGATTTGTGAAGTTGTAGGGTATTGTTTGTGTCCTGCTCTGGTTTATGTTTGAAAAATGGCTGTGAGGGAACATGGGCTGTGGAGTCTTGTATAAGAAGCGTGGGCTCGTACTGCTAACTGTAGGGTTCAAATAGTGCCCAGGAGACATAGCAAGATTACTCACTAACATGGATATAAATATATAAAACAACTGCAGGCATGTTTTTGAGTGTACAGTGTTAATGTATGGATGCACCGACCCAGCTTTTTCAGTCCCGATATCAAATCTGATACTTTGGCTTTAAGTATCTGCAGATAGCAGATCTCTCAAGTAACGACAGAACAACTTTTTGTAAATTAATGTTAAAACATTTTCTGAGACTTTCTGAGCCAACTATGACCAGTAAATATCTTATAACTGCAGACCTAGTCTTATCAAATAAATTTATATGATTTAACCAAATGTCCAACCAGGATATCTGTTGAACTGATATTTGGAAGTCAATAGTTAACTTTTCAAATAGTGTGTTCACAGACATCAGCGCCAGTATTTGATACCAATCTCTGTATCGGTGCATCCCTAGTTATAACATGGCAGAAAGCTCCAAAAAGTCAGCGTAATACCCCCTCTTTAAATTGCACGCCAAGGGAGCTAAACCCTCTCTTAGTGCTGTGGCTGGATGACTTGGGCAATCGCTCACCTTCCCATCCCAAGACATTGCGGGCGAATTCGCACACGGCCAGCTGCATGCCCAGACAGACCCCTGTGAGAAAACAGCAGCAGCAGAAAGAGCAGCGGGGCACATGCATAATCATCAGTAATTGTTAAGTCTCATAAATAAAAGAGAATGGAATAACACCCCCACTGGGCAAGGTGCTTTCATGGCTAGTGCTGTGCAAATGCTTGTATAGCAGGAATTCATATCTGTAAGGTTTTTTCATTCTTTTGCAACTTTGAATGCAGTAAGTGGAGCAATTAGGCTTTTGTCAGATGAAAGGAAGTATGGATGTAGATGAGGAAACAGATCTCAACAAATGGAGCTTAAGTAGTAGACATAAAAGAAGTCAATTGCCTGGATATATTCAATCCAAACTTGAAAGTAGCAATTTTGAATATATGTTTTATTGTAAGTGCCAGTGTTGATAATAATAGTAGGTTTGAGAGGGGCCACCGAAGCAATATTTTCTCCTATATTCCAAAGGTGCACTATGCATGGTTTTCCACCTGTTTGTCTCCATTTTGCACAATGCTCCATGTTCCACATGACATTAAATGTAGCTATCTACATGGAGACAAGCAACTAATGCCAAAAGGCCAAGTTACAGTTGAGATATGTAGAGAAGTGAACCCACTCACAGTAAGAATGCGAGGTTTCAAGGTATTTAAAAACATTTTTTTAATCACAAATAATTCAATAAATACAAGATTTAAGTTTAATGTCATGCTGTGGAACATTCCAGACAAAGCAATATCGCCATGGAGACAAGCATCTCAAGTGGTGAATACTTAGCTTCTTCCAAGTAGCTTCTTCAGTTCTGACTAGGATAAGTGGCAAACAAACTAACTAAACAAAGAGTTGCCCAGTTAACATAACTTAACCATCTCTGCAGGGAAAACACCCAGGATAACTGAGGATTTACACAGATAATCAAATGTAGTGACAAAGGTAAAAAATAAATAAATAAATAAAAAATAAACATACCCAAAAATGGTTTGTTCTGCTTTCTGGCCCAGTTGATAGCCAGCATCTTCCCTTCTGTCCCTCTGACGCCAAACCCTCCAGGTACCAACACACCACTGCAAAAGACAAAAATATCGTCAAAACTACTACTTATTCAACAGATTTCACCTCACCTTCAAACAACTCAACATATGTACAAATATTCAAATCAAAAGCACTTGCTGTTGGCTGGGATTGAGACTTGGGAACAACATGACATTCTGTAGAAAGTTTCAGCACTGGTCAAAAGTATATGAATGACATGTACGAGTGGAGATTTGGGAAAGCTGAGCACATGAGGCAATGCGGATGTCAAAACTTCACTGGACACCTGTCACTGTTACTTCCCCAATTGTTTTTATTAGATCGTACTGAAGCCTACCCCCCTTCTCCTCCTCCTGTCTGAGTCTGCCTGTCACGATAGCTTGGCTTGGGTATTGCATCTTATTTTTCCTTTTCCACTCCTGTTGCAGTTGCATCCTGCTGCTGACACATCATTTGATGAATCAAAATGCTGGGTTTTGATTTCCTGGTAAAGCTGATAGACGCTCTGGAAATCGCATTTAATCTTAAGGTTACTGACTTCAACGCTGCTCAGAAGTTATGTTTTTTATTTTTTTTTACTGGCAAGGTTCCAGCTCGGGTTTTCTTGATGCAATACTGTTCAGATAAACAACGAAAAAAGCATGTGTGTTATGGCGGGGTCCTTTCAGATTTCATGTACAGTTTGACATCTTCAAAGTTAAGTTGATTAAGTGCTGTGGTCTTTAAGACCTTTTCAATTATAATGTAATTGATTGAATTGTAAAAGATCAATACTATGATGAAGTGCACACCTTATGGCTATCATTGTTTTGTGTCATAAACCGCAGCGAGAGAGAAAGAGAGTGAGCAATAGAGAAACAAATGCCTGGCACTGATTTAATAAAAAGCTCCTTGCCTCAACATGCATCTTCATATTAGGTTCATCCACTACTATGGCAACAGGACAAGTATATACTGCCCCCATGTGTGAGAAGGGAGAACAGCAGCACAACTCATTTGATTTAATTGTAAAATTTTTATTTTTAGTTCAGCTTAGTAAAATAAATGTACTCACTGGGCACTACAGAGGTGCTGCCACGCTTCATGATATTTGACTGGGTCCTCCTGTTGAGTGGCCGGCTCCAGGTCAGCAGAATCTATATACTGTCAATGCAGCAAAATGACAAAGCAGATAATAAGTAATAGTATTTAGGTGGATTAGTGCTACACTCATACTGCATAATACATTATACTACATTTTTGTGGCAGTTCTATTAATAATTACAATAATACACTCAAACATACCCTACCAGTCAAAAGTTTGGACACACCAGTTCATTCAGTGTTTTTTGTTCCTTTATGTTTACTACTTTTTACATATTATATACATACAGATGACATCAAGTATGTGATGCAAGTTATATGGAAGTATGAAGTTAAAAAAAAGTTAAATAACTAAATACTTTTTATTTTTTTGATTCGAAATTTCAAAATAACCACTGTTGGCTTTGTTGACAGCACTGGCCTTCTCCCAATGAGCTTCTTGAATAAGTCTCCTGAAATGGTTTTCACTTCACAGGTGTGCCATGTCAGGGTCAAGAAATTTGAATTTATCTTTAACTTTTTTTATCCAATACAAGTTTTGAGTTTATTTTTTGTTTGCCACAATCAATGTCCATTCATAGTTTTGATGCCTTCAGTGAGAATCTACAAATCTGCAAATAATCATGTAAATAAAGAAGAAAAAAAAAGGAAAAAGTGTGCCAAAACTTTTGATAGTGTACATGTACTGCATATTGCTTCCTTACCTTGACCTCTAGTTTATGATTAATGGCCAGTGCAGAATGTTCCAAGGCCTTGATGACCGAGGTGTAGGAGTCAGACAGCTTTGTGTACTTTCCCACCAGCGCTATGGAAACGCGCTCCAGGAGGCGGTCAGACCTGAAAATTGAGGAACCTAATAAATCACTTCAGCATCAAATTCACAGACTGTGACCAAACATCAAATCAGTGTTCTTCTCCACAGGTGGCTTCATACAGTAGTAACAGCACATTGTGTTGGGTGCGTAATCCATGGCACCCATTCACACAAATACACACCCAACAATTGTGGCTGAAATTATATTTAACTATAATTATGAAAAAAACAAAAAAAAAAAAAAAAAAACTACAATAACATTCATGTCTATAAAATTCTTTACAGTGGATCTTGGGCAGATTATTCAGTTAATAATGCATTTGAAACTGCATTTATAAGAATTTATCAAAAATAGCAGTATATTGGTAGAACAACAGAAGAAAGATCCAACTCGTGTTCTGTACTCCTCAGTAAGGGCATGAGACTAAAAAAGGGGACTGAAAATGTATAATTTATATAATGATGTAATAATTTCTTCTGAAACACCAGTGACTGCATGGCCTTTATGCTTAAGTGTAGCTCTTCAATAGCCTTGAATCTGACTGGCTGTAATAGGCTGTGTTCACATGACACTAGATGTACTAGTACAACACTATGGATGCCAATTATGACAATTAATTTCAAGACTCATGTGAACCCACTTATGATGATGCTGTTGTTGTGTCCAATGTCTTTCTTTTTATTGAATACAAAAAGTATTCAATAAAAAAGATTTAAAGAAAATTAAGGATTTCAGTGACACAAAAACATGATTGGGATTTAATTGGGAGTGATCAAAATTCACCAATTAGTCTAACATGATGATAGTTATGATTAGATTATGAACCTAATATGCAACTTTGCACAACACCACACACACCTATAACAGTACACGTGATGAGTCAGCAGTCATTAGTAGTACATGATCATGTACTAAGTACATGTTTAAACAGAGAACAATAAAGTCACAAACCACAAACAGGCAGTCACCTGTCTGCCATCTCCTTCCATTTTGAGAGAATTCTTCGGGGCCTCATTTCGACGGGCAGGTTCAGCCGCTCACAGAAATAACTGACTACGCCCTGTTCCTCAAGGAGCAGAGGCACGCGGTACACAGAGGAAACATCCTGCACACATATGACCTGCGGGACATGGGGCAGTTTACTTGGGTTATATGGGCTTTGTGTGGATGCCATGTGAAATAATATCACTAACACATCACTGTATGCAGTAGGACCATAGTGTACTTTACCTGTGTAGGCTCCACATGACAAAACATAGAAATCTTTTCTTTGACAGCAGTTTCTATGGCTGTGGTACATCTACACATAATCTGTACATAAAAGCAGATTTAGGCCAAAATAGCTTGACATGCCTCTTTATGTGCCATCATAACCTGTAATGTGACGTACCAAATCAGGAGATAAGCCCAGACCCCGGAGTTCCCGTACACTGTTTTGGGTTGGTTTGGTTTTCTGCTCTCCAGTGGTGTTAGGCTGCAATACATTTAATGATTAGGTTAGTGATGCAGGGCCCAAATCACATGATACACATCACGCCACCATTTATTTTAGACAATTAAACATGAATTGGACCATTTTTGTTCCTCTACCCCAATACAAAATACTCCCTGCCGCAGTGTTACATTAGTTTCAAACTCTAGTGCACTGCATTTGGGTGGCGTGAACCCTAAACTGACAAGTAAACATATAGGTGGCAATGCAATGTATGAGAAAATATGCAGTAAACAATCAAGATACCATACCTACTTAAGAATATACTTCTAAGCATTTAACTAGAATATTAAAATATATGCAGATAAATGTAAGATACAAAGCCGAGTAAAAATAATAAAAGAAAGTCATACCTGTGGGACCAGACTGACGTGGATGTTGCAAAAGTTCTCCCTCTTGACCTTGAACTGAAACTGCCTGAAAGCTTCTATAAAAGGCATGCTCTCGATGTCTCCCACTGTTCCTCCCAGCTGTCCACACAAAACACTGGGATTATAAAAGTGCATGCTCATAATGCAGAATTATATTCAAACTAGCCAATAATAATCTAATAATCTGTATTTGATAACGGTTTATTCTCTCTTCAGTTCTGAAATTAGAATTAGTGATTGTTTTTGTCAGACAGAAGAGTTTGTTTACCTGCTTTACATGTTTCGGCTGCTTCCTGTACATGTTTTGGCTACTACAGGAAGTCACCGAAACATAAAACTGTCAGCATTCTGTCTGACAAAAAGCATTGTTAATTCTAATTTTAACACATAATCTGTATCTGTATACAACATCAGCCTATAAAATGGCCAAAATGGAAATGGTAAATAGAATTTTAAATACAACAAATTCCCTGAAGAGTAAATAATAATAATAATTAATAATAATAATGCATTTGTTTTAAATAGCACTTTTCCAGATGCTCAAAGTTGCTTTACAGTTCCATACATTATTAATTCATTTATTCCATACTCTGCAGTGATAAGATTGTAGCCACAGCTGTCCTGGGGCAGACTGACAGAAGTGAGGCTGAAAAACTACATAATTGGCCCCTCCGACCAACACCCATACACACACCATACATACTAGGCAATGTTGTGAAGTGTCTTGCCAAAGGACACAATGTCTGGCCACTAGCACCCCATTTGTTGCAGTTTTTATTGTCAAACAAACATGACTTAGTCCTAGATTGATTCATGCTTTTCAATCATACCAAACTTAAAAACAGGTCTGTAAAGGTTCTCCTATTACTTTGATGCTTAACAGGCTTCCCTTTAAGCACAATAGCAAGTGCTAAATATAGACTGGACTTTCACAATTAATCACATATTTACCTCTATGACACAAACTTGAGGCTCCACACCATCGTCGTCTACAGAAACCTTGGCCTGTTTCATAACCCATTCTTGGATAGCATCTGTAATATGGGGCACCACTGAAAAAACACAACACAATTAGTTACATTAAAAGGGTTAAGAAATAAGATTATGAAGATAAGTAAAGGAGTTACCGACCTTGTACTGTTTTGCCCAGGTAGTCACCCCTCCTTTCTTTATTGATAACAGACTGGTAGATTTTCCCTGTTGTAAGATTGTTGTCTTTGGTGAGGCGTATATCCAAGAAACGCTCATAATTCCCCAAATCCAAGTCTACTTCACCGCCGTCATCCAGGACAAACACTTCACCTACAAATAAAATAGGGATTAATAAATGACCAATAATGACATTGCTTGGTGTAATAAAATAAATCTTAACTGACCATGTTCATAGGGTGAAAATGTGCCAGCGTCTATGTTGATATATGGGTCGATCTTGATGGAGGTAACATGAAGTCCACATGATTTGAGGATGGTACCCACACTACTGGCAATAATACCCTTACCAATGCCAGATATGACGCCTCCAGTAACCAATATGTATTTCATACTGATCTGGAATGATAAAAGAAGACAAGACAAGAAGTTGTTAATCGTGCCCTGCCTTTGTAATCCCATGCTGTGGAACATTTCTGATAAAGCAATAACATGAGGACAAGCAGGTGGTGTAACCGTCCAAAAGAGATTTACTTAGTTCATCTTCAAATAATTAAAATGGCATTTTCATAACTAACCTTGGTAACCTTCAACATATGGAAAAAAAAAAAAAAGTCAAATTGATCCGTAAAGCTGGTCATGTGATCGGCTGTGAGCTGGAGACATTTGACATTTGTCACAGTGAGGGACAGGAGGACACTGGACAAACTGCTCTCCATCATGGACACTCCTGTTCACCCACTGCACCAGACTATAGAGGGATTGAGGAGCTCATTCTCCAACAGGCTCCTACAGCTCCACTCAACCAGTGAGACATATAGAGATACAGAGAGGACTACATTCATATCATACTACAATTCACCCTTATGTAACCCTAAGTCCTGTCAATCATATTTTTTGCAATATCTTCCTATGACCTCTTGTATATTACTTAGTTTTCTATTTTATTTTGACTTGTAGAGATACATTTATATAATTGTGCCTGTCTCTTGCCATCTTTTTTGCTACTTATTTAACATGTATTATTACAATTGATATTTTTTTTTACTATTTGTTATTATATTATATTGTGAGGTGTGAGCTACTGTGTCCACATAATTTCCCTTGTAGATCAATAAAGTTTGTCTAAGTATAAGTCTAAAACAAGCCTTCTGGAAAAGTAGGTCAGTCATTCAATTACAATGTTACAAAACAATTATTTGCAGTTTGGCGACCTAAAGGGTAGAGTGTAATATCAGAAGGGGATATAGGGTAACACTGGTCAAGGGTTACAGCCACTTAACGTAGGCTTCTGTAAATGTAACGCATAACACATGTATGCGCCAAAACCACGCCAAAAACGCGCAAAGCCATCATATTGGCGGGAAGTACCGGGAAGTAATGGCGTAAATAAAAACATTACCGCGTGTTTTTTGTGTCCTCAGCCAACTTATCTCTTAACTCTAAACGCTTTTCATATTATTAGGATCAAATTAAAAGTGTATATACATCAGCAGCCTACAATACCAATCAACAAACGCTGTCATGTACGTTTAGGTTTGCGGTTTATCAGTCCAAATGGCACATTAAGCATCTTTACGCACAGTCTCCATCAATTTAGAAAAGCCTGCGTTAGAATCACACGTCAAATAACCAGTAAAGAATAATAAATGCATAAATTATTGACAACTGACAGTCACTTATCCAACCATAAAAGATCTTACCGCACAACACGGGTGAAATAGACACCTGTGTCCTTCTAACACTGACGATTTATTCCCGATTAGGCGTTAAAACATGCAGAATTAACACATATTGTATCCTTAAAATGTTCTTGTTATTGCTAAAGCACGTGTAAGGGAAGCTGACTGGTGCCGTACTGTGTTTCGTTCGTACAGCTGAAGCTTTCCGTTTGTATGGATATAATGTATATATTTTTCCACATTTTTGTCTGACAGGAGACCCACATGCACGAAAAGAGACTCGCCCCTGCCGAAACAACCAATAACGTGGAAGGCTTGGTGATTAACTGTGCAAGAAGGCCGCCCTTAAGACAAGACACCGGGAAAAATTTTATACAATCGTCCTGATGTTTTTACCAAGATACCGTACATTTTTCTCAATGGTTTGCAGGGGTCCCAAGTCATTCAAGGTCAGAATGTAAAAAGAAAGTATTAATAATAACAATGTAGCTTAATAAACTAGGTGTGTTATTATAGTCATTTTAGCAACTAATTTTAATTAGAACACCTCAAATTGTAGTAAAAGTTGGACAAATTCTGGTGGAACATGTGACAAAAGGAGAAATATTATCATGTAATAAATATAAATCAGTTTCCAACTATGACAAGTAGGTACACCAAATGTCTTCTTCTTCTTCTTCTTCTTCTCCTTATCATTATTATTATTATTATTATTATTATTATTATTATTATTATTATTATTATTATTATTAATGTTACTTTTTATACAAATCATGTGGCACCAAACTGAAAGAATGGGACATTAACTAGCCTGTGAGGGACGAGGAGGACATGACAGGTGCAGGACAACCAAAAAAGGGACAAGTGTCATCCTATTTTGATTATCTTTACAAATGAATATTCATGTTAATAATTGCTTAATAATTATAAAAGTTATAATATGTAGCCAATATTTCACAGTTTCCCCACCAGATGGCGCAAGTGTCACGTTGTGGATAGGTTTGCACCATCTGAAAGTTAAATTAGGCTAGATTGAGCTATTAGTATGTGTTGGATAAGAAGTGATGAACTCGGTGACTCCTCTGGGGTTGAAGGATCAGTTAAGCTATCATGGAAAATTAATTCTCAAGTACAAAGTAGGCTTGATACTAAAAACTTTTCATCCTTAGAAGAAAAATGGAAAAACAGACATGTCTCTATTTAACTGTCTACTGCCTAGTGTGTTGTTATGACTACAGCTATCCATTCAAATGATCTAATTAAACATGCCACTTCATTGTATATGCGTTCCCATTTAATTACATTGCACACATTGTATCATTACTGTGTTAGATAATACAAAAGCAATTGGATCTCTTCAGTAGATCACAGATAAAGCCTTCGCATAATAATACTGCACATATGGCATCTCAGTATTGAGCCTATTCCTCTTAAATGGCATCAAATTAAGCAGTACTATGAAGCATCCTTCACAGAATAATATAGACATTGGCAAATACATAATTTATGCAAATGACCTTATAATTTGTAAGTAATGTCTGTGTGGATACATGAATTGATAGCAAAAACAGACAATGTTTTTAGAGGGAATATGTTTCACCACTCATCCAAGTAGCTGCTTCAGTTCTGATGCAGCTCTGGTAAGGGAAAGGTTTAAAGGACCTTTACGTAAGATATGGATTTAAAATTGTACATACATGACCCAACTATGTCCCTAGAAATGCAGTAGCTTTAACTGGTAATAATTATAATGCTGATTTATTCTTAGTTACAAAAACATTGGACATGATGGCCAAGTTGTTTATGCTGTAATTTGGTGTTTTGGTTATCAAGATGATTATCCAATCAGAAAGCAGAATGAGATTCACATGAGTCTGTCATTTGGGTTTCTTTACTGAAATGTAGTTGGTTTAAGCCTAAAATGACTCTCTCTGATCTGAATCCACTACCTAAACCCTATGCCTGCAGGGAACCATCAGTGAGTCTGCTGCTGCATTATATCCTGTCCATATACTGAGAATGAGAAAAACTTGTATGTGTACTCTATCTGCAGGTTAAGGAACCGCTAACCCAGGTTCAGTTGTGATTTTTAAAACTATAAGAGCACAGAACATACAGTTCCTTTAAATAAACCAAAACTACTGGGTATTTACCAGGCTAGTAAAAATCATATAACTAGAATGATCATTAAACCAATAATAAGCTCAGATTGTTGGTGTCACAAAATAAATGTGTTCTTCAAAAACATGGGGACATTTGTCAGTTAAAAAAAGCTCAATGCATTTTTTGGTTGCCACATTCATTAGCAGGTTAGTTTTTAATTAATTTCCCTTGTCAAAACCTGCACAGGTAAGAATAAACATAAAGAAATCCAATTACTCACATCAGATACAACTGTTTACAAGAATTTGAATGTGATAACTCCAATCATCAGATTGTAGTAATAAAGTGCTGTATTTAAGTATACATTTTAGACATCTGTACTTTACTGTAAGTACATTTTTAAGTGGAAACTTTTTACTTTTACTCCACTACATTTAAAAGTAGATATTTGTACTTTCTTCTCCACTACATTTCTGGAGTGGACAGGACTCAAAAGAAAAAAGTTTTGTTATTGTTTGAGAACTGCTGAAAAGGCTGTGGGTTTATTTTTTACCACATTAATAATTTAAGAACAAAAACAAAATTATACAAATAAAAACAGCTAGGGGAAAAAAAAAGAATTCTCTTGTTTCTGATTAACAAAATTTAGCACAAATCTGTATCAAAATCAATATATTTGGAGTCTTATAAGAACTCAAGATCTACTCGAAATACTTTTACTTTTACCTCTTTAAGTACATTTTTAAACCATTACGTTACTACTTTTACTCAAGTAGATTTTTTTCATGTGACACTTGATTACTTGATTTACTTGACTTGAATTATTACTATTATTAATAAATGTCCTTTTTATTGCAGTTTTGGATTGTGGACTATTGATCGACCAAGGATGGCAACACAGATCTCTCTTAAGGCACAACTCAGCTACAAACCACTCAAAGGAAAAGAGATCTCTGGCAATTAGTGTCATTATAACTGCTCATGTGCGCGGCGGGCTGGAGAAACATTAACGCTGGCAGCGGACTTTGTGAGTATGTGGCTAGAATGTATAATATTGGGGCTTTGCTGAGCGTGCATGTATATTTAATAGCTTTAATGTACTGCATGCTTATAAGTTACATTATTGTGGCTCTTATGTGGGACATCACTGTTTTTGCCATACAATAAAAAAGAGTGAACAGTTGAAAATAAGGGACAGGTGAAAGTGCAGTGATTTTTATTGCAACTGTGAGGACCCCCTCAAAAACAAGACGGCGAGACATCTCAAGGGGCTTTGTTTAGGCTGAGTTCTTCTTTCAAATCGAAAACAGTCTGTTCCACCTTGTGATGTCAAGTGGTGATACAGGAAGTGCTCCACTGTGATTTTAAACTCCATACAGCTTCATTAGAATCGCTTGGATAATTTCAGCCCTGGAATTCTCTACTGAACAAAAGCTAAAGGGGAGCTGTTAACTTAAAAAATACTGCTTCATGACATCACAAGGTGGAGCAGAGCATTCTGAGCCTTGGAGATATAGACAGACTAATAAAGGAGGGCTCAAAAACGTGAATGAAAACACAGCTATAGGTACCAACATTATAACATGGCTTAAAGCTCACAAGAATCCATTTAATAAGCACACAATACCTATGACATATAATATGGTGCAATAGTGACTGATAGTATTAAAAATGCACTACACAACTTCTAGTAGGGTGTCCGCCGCGACAGAGATGTTATTTGTTTGCATTAACTGTTCCAAATGCATTTATTTCTTTGCAAGTGTTTTTATTGCTCAAAAGTACCTTGAAAAACATGAGCTCACTTCTCCACAGATCTGGCTTGTAACTTGTCCCTGTGAGGTCACCTGCTTGTTTCTATGAAGGTAAATAAACGCTATACTGTGGAACATTAGATGCAAAACTATAACATCATGAGATAAGCAGGTGGTAGAGAAAGGTTACATATTACATAAGTAAAATATATGTGTGCACAGTATAATCAGTTGTGGATATGCATGTAATTCTGTACATGCATATCCACAACACACACACGTACAGACTGTTCACATTTAAGCTGCCTTCAGGACATATTTTGCTGAAAGAACAGTATCCAGAGCAGGAACGAGAAAACACAAAATCAGCTCTATCGTCAGCTGATGGGAGCTGATATAGAGAGGGAGTTATAGAAGACATAGTTTGACTTTGCTGTGTTCTTTTTGAGAGGGTGTTCAAAAGTATTCGCAATTGAGCTATAAGATGAGAATGCAGTTTCCATTATAAACAATGTGGTGTGCTGTAATGATTAAAGGTAATAGATGTAAGCTGTGCTCCCAGTGGTTTAAAAAAGACAATCCTAAAATAAACAGGGACAGGTATTGCCAACTAGTTTCAGACATTGGATCTGGCAACCATAGACTGTATACAAAAGTAGACTAAGGGAGTGCTTCAGTAGTGTTTGGCTCCAGTCAAATGAAGCTCATGATGCTTGCATTTATAGGAGAGAATTTAGATCCAGGTCCAGCCACAAATTAGCCGGACAGGCGCCACCTAGTGCCTCTGCTCAATTTCATTTCTCTTCAGTGACTAGGTCAGGAATCAGAATACACTAGACGGTGTTTGCAAGAACCCCGGAAGTTGTGAACCGTGCACAGGCCAATCAGCGAAGAGCTGTGAAGCCATGACGTCAAACTCAAGTGCCTGTCTGGGTCCCTTTTGTGGTACAACACAACATTAAACAAAGTGGTCGAGATGGATGTAGACGAAGCCATACATTCTGAGTTGGCAACAATTCCCGAGATTGAGGATTTAAAGCAGGAACCAAGAGAATGTTTGGTGAATTTTATCAAGGGGAAAGACATTATTGCCCTTCTTCCTACGGGACTTAGAGCATTACATATGTCATGACCAAATCGCAGAGATTGGTTAAATAAAAAAAGTACCAGCTTAGCATTAAGTGAAGAAATCCTAATTCTGTGAGGTCAGATGGTTTCCACAAAGTGAAACTGGCTGAAGAATCAGGCTAGTAAGCTGTGCTCCCAGTGGTTAAAAAAGACAATCCTAAAATAAACAGGGATAGGTATTACCAACTAGTTTCATATGTAGGATCAAGTAACCATAAACTATATAAAGAAGTGGACTAAGGGAGTGTGACTTCAATAGTGTTTGGCTCTAGTTAAAATGAAACTCATGCTCGCAGTTATAGGAGAGAATTTGGAGCCAGGTCGAGCCACGAATAGGAATTTAGCAAAATAAAAACACTAGTAGTAAAGAGGGTTACTACGATACTTTAAAACTAAAATGACGAGGCTCACTGAAGAAGTTAAAAAGAGAGGGCCAGCGTTTTTCAATGTAAAGTCAATTCAAGCCAGAGTCGATGGAGCCGGAAGCTCCCCCATGTTCACTTCCTACTTGGAACACAGTGACTAGCAGGTTAGTGATGTCCATTTATATATGCAGTCTATGTTGGCAACCCAAAGTGAGGAGCTTATTCTGCTTTTTCACTGGCTAATTGTCTCGAATAAACAAATCGGACATATAAATAAATATACAAATAATAATAATAATAATAATAAATAAAAGTGTCAAATAAAAAATACATCTTGTTTTCCTCATATACTTCCCCATCAACAAGTCAATTGCTTTTAATCAGTCATTATGCACACAAACAAAGCATGACAAAACCCACAAACACAATATATTTTTAGACTTCCTTGACAATCATAAGACCCATGCCAGGCCAGTACAACCTGTTGTGGTAGTAAACAACTCATGGAAACAATACCCTCTATACTAATCCCATATAGTACCACTCAAAAGCCCCTAAACCATCACTGTCCTCTTCAGTATTTACCCTGCGCTACATGTGCTCTGCATTCTGCTGTGGGAGTGTGACATCTCGTATTCTCAGCTCATTGCTTCAGCAGCCACAAGTTATTGAGAAAAACAAATGTCAGTTGAAGGGCGTTGTCTGTTTGCTGTCTGCGTTTCCTCCAGTTATATGGAGCACATCTAATTCTATTATGAGAAATCTATTGAGGGGAAAGACTTTTATTGGATAACAGAGGGCTAACAGTAACTATAGAAAGCAGAGAAGGGGTAAGTGGGGGGAAGATGGAGAGAATTGATGGAATGTATAGTTTGGAGTTGAAATTTTGTTATATGGGAGCAGTAGTGATGATCCATAATCCCTTGCTGTTTTTATCTGACCTTACTTGAAGTATTGTCATTTCTTGTTTTGTGATTTTGTCTTTAAAAGTCCTGAATACGCATGTATTCCCCCCCCATGTATCTGAGCAAAATTTCTGTTTCTCCATTACGACATGTTAAACAAGAAGCTGTTGAGGTCAAAATAAGATGACTTTGTACTGTACTTATTATGATGTGTGTTATTGTCTGAAATGTAGGAAGTGTACAGTTAGCATACTAGTTGTTGTTAGTATTACAGTGACAACAAAACTGCTCTGAAAGTTGTGAAAAGTGCTTATAAACCAGTGTTTCCCAGGCATTTTTTTTTCTGGGGACCCATATTTTAAAAGTCACAAACCTTCACGACCCAAGTCAAAAAACATTATTCGTAAATCACAAAATAAAGGTGGATTTGACCATTACTGAACATTAATGAGGATATTTTATTGTTGATTAAGTGATCGTGTCTCTCTGAACAATTAGTATTACTTGAGTTTTAAACAATGAAAAACAGTAATTGAAACAGCAATAAAAAATATTCATAAATTACCTATTTGGACTTTAAATGTACCCCATTTCTTTTTCTTTTCAGCATTCAACTGAACCGACAATACTGGAACAAAATAGTCAATAAAATAATTACAAAAAGATTAGAAATTATACAAAACATGTCTTAACATGTCAATATTTCTAATGAGATAGATGGGTCTGTCTGCATTTTGTAGCATTTTCCAGTCCAGGGTGCAGGAGGAGAGCGCAACACACAGATCAGTGTTAGAACTGCATATTGCAGACCGACATGCAGATTGTGACAAGGCGACCCCCCAAAAAATCTCTTGCGACCCAGTCTTTGGAAAAAATTGTTATTAAGTCATTGTGGTCAATAATTGATTGAAATGCATAAGGTAAGTGAGGAATAACTCTGGCCCACTGCAAACCATTTAAAATGAACTAGTTCAGCTTTTCATGTGTGTTTATCCAGGCTTGGCACCATAATCCCCAGTGAATTATGTGCTTGCAGGTTTGCTCCTAGATAGTATGCTAAGTGAATGAACTGGATCATGTAAGATTTGAACTACCAACTTTCAAACCAAAACAAAAAACAGTAAAAAAAAAAAAAAAATCATCAAAATCATCACTTAAAACTATGGTTAAAAATAGCTCATTTTGCGATATAGTCTTGTGATCTAAATACAAACCACTGGATTTTCATTTAGCTTTTAAGTTTAAGTGGAGTTTTGTTTGTTCATTTATGTCTCAACCTCAAAGCGCCAACTGGTCTCACTGATACATTAATCTAGACTAGCTCCTCCATGTTTTTAAAGTTCATTCACCCAATATTATCATTGCACTATACACAGCAATTCAACTTTGCCCCTAGAAACTTGACATTGTATATAGTGTCATACTCTCCTCTTGTTTTGTAGTGCCTCAGATGACTTTATTTACATTCTTTTTTTGTTTGTTTTTTTACAGTGTGAACCAAGACCATCCATGAGTAGTTTTAAACAGCCTGAATCTTGCATAATGTAGAAAGAACCCTTAAGTCGTTGTTTACATTTGGCACGCAATAGTCTCATTTATTTATATATTTGTAAATGAGTCGCTTTCTGTTCGCCTCGACCTGCCCCCTCCTCCTACTGTGTCCTTGTTTACTTCTCTCCTCCGTCTCTCCCTCCATCCCTCCCTCCCTTCCTCCTCACCAGCGCACAGCGAGATCCTGGCCGCAACCACCTCCGACAAAACAGATGACACTGGTTTGTTGTTCTTTCCTTCGCTGCTCCGCCACTCATCCCCCCTCATCACTCGGAGGTGAGGGAGGGGGGTTGGTTGAAGGAAGGATTGATTAATTTCAGACGC